CTTGTACACTGGAGGAAAGACCAGACATGATAACGACGTACAAGATTATAAGGGGAAATTGACCTAGTAGATAAAGAAGCAGTGTTCAGAGTGAGGAACAGTAGAACGATGGGGCGTAATTAGAAACGTTCAAGGCAAGTGGGAGAGGGGGGGGGACCTTCGACAAGCCGTTGGCTTCCTGTCCTCGTCGAAGTAAAGGTAAATCAGGTAAACTGGAGACACAAATAAGTCACAGAGATGTCACAGAGAATTTCAGTGTAAGTCGTAAATAAGTTGAATTGACTAGATGAGGAAGTCGTTGAACCCCCCAGTTCGATAGTTTCAAGTTTAGAGCTTATTGTGCTCCCTGTACTTACACTGTGAGGGGGTAATAGGTATCTGGGGCATATACTGAGCTCAGGAACTGAAAACCAAACTTCATTTATCTAAGCAAGTTATACAGCCTTGATGAACTAGATACAAAGTTTAATGTATGTTAAGAATGCCGTCACACACACACACACACACACACACACACACACACACACACACACACACACACACACACACACACACACACACACACACACACACACACACACATACACATACACACACACACACACACACTGTTCACAAGTTGAGAGGCGGGATCACTTTGGGCGCACAACCCAACTGGTAGACATAATCTCTTATAGATATAGATTATGGGTAATATTAATGCTGCATCCATATCTACACATTACGCAACAACCTTATGAGGAGAATACAAAGAACCAGATGCAAGAGCAGTGGGACAGACTCGAGGAATGACCTGATAAGCACCAAGTTTGGCGCCTTTAAAACCAACTCTATCATGCTGCGAACAGGATTTGATGGTAGACGACACACATAATCTCCTTTAGCTACTGGAATGTACCTAGACCCCGATGCTATCAGCAGCATGTCAAAGACTGCTTATTGCAAATAATGCCTTCAAGGTTTTGTAATACCAGGTACATCAGACGATTCTCAAACTTTCAGAGGATCACCACCAGATTGGTCCTGAAGGACATGAATTACGAGGAATGGCCAAATGAGAAGTTCCCTGCGTGTGAGGAGATGAGGTGTGCACGGCCACCAGCCGCCCGCCGCCGTGGGAAGGAAAGGTCCAAATGGACACAGATGGAAGCTGAACACTCAGATGATTGACGGGTGGCATTAGAAGTGGAACTTGTCGTGGTAGTGGAGTGGTGGAGCGAGCTAGGAAGACAGGAAGTGGGTGGTGGCTGGGTTGTGGATGTCGACGGTAGATATGGCTGGTTGGCTGTGAGTAGCGGCTGATACATGTTCGTGGTGGGTGGGTTGGGGGGCGTCGACGGGTAGTTGGGGGGCGTCGACGGGTGGGTTGGGGGCGTCGACGGGTGGGTTGGGTGCGTCGACGGGTGGTGGGGGCGTCGACGGGTGGTTGGGGGCGTCGACGGGTGGGTTGGGTGCGTCGACGGGTGGTGGGGGCGTCGACGGGTGGGTGGGGGACTTCACGAGGACAGGTGGTCGGGTTACCTGTGTTGTGACGGCCGTGTTATGAAATGTGGGTCGTGCTCATGTGTGCGCTTCCCACACTATCGGCCACTGTTGTGAAGAACCCACCTGCCGCCCTCTTTGTTTGTGTGGCTCCCTGCCAACCTCCCCTGGTGTGTGGTCTTGTGCCCCAGCAGGACCTCATACCCTCCCCTGGTGTGTGGTATTGTGTCCCAGCAGGACCTCGTACCCTCCCCTGGTGTCTGGTCTTGTGCCCAGCAGGGACCTCACTTTGATTAAAAGTTTCTTCAGTTGGGACCAGGCTTTTCTAAAGTTGAGACTAGATCTTTCTTAAGTTTAGGCAAGGCCTTTTTCAAGCTGGGACCAAACCATTAATGAATGTTTTTAAGACGTTTTCAAGTTCTATCCAGTGTAAGTTTTAATTGGTATTAGAGGCACATATTGAGACACGAGTGCGACCCCGTGTTAAGTATTGCGGCCAGTTGTTTGGAAGGTCACCCTGGAGTGTGGGTTGAGCACTCGCTCACTGTAATGTGGAGTAGTACAAGTGTTGAGCTTCATCAAGGCTCCACAGCAAGTGATTCCAGAACACCAGGTGATTCTATGCAGGGTACCAAGTGACTCCATTACTACATTACAGGCACCGTAATAGAAGGGTCCAATATTGTACTAATAGTTATTTGTCTCCACTAAATTACAGAAGACCCACAAAATAATAAGCCATAAATAGTATTGCGTCTGTTACAGTAATAGAAAGAACAGCTTCAGGTGCCGTTTGGAATGACTCTCGACTATTAATCATAGATTGGCACGTTCAACAATGCCAAAGTAGACTGGGAGACCAGATAGTACATGTAGCATGGATGTATGGAGAGATAAACTAATGGAAGCAGCAGTGATAAACTCTCTTAAGGGATAATGACGAGTCAGAAAGAATCTGTATTTATTTTGAATGCTAAAAATAAGAGAAATAATTTTAGAAGATCCCGTTGAAACGAGTAGTCACTAAATACTGATATTTGAGCATCTGGTGAAGAATGGATGACCTGATCAGGATGAACAAACTTTGGCATCTTGAGGTTATCTTGAGATGATTTCGGGGCTTAGCGTCCCCGCGGCCCGGTCCTCGACCAGGCCTCTTTTTTGTTACACTTCCCAGGAAGCAGCCTGTAGCAGCTGATTAACTCCCAGGTACCTATTTACTGCTAGGTAAAAGGGGCATGAGGGTGAAAGAAACATTTTGCCCATTTGTCTCCGCCTCCATCGGGGATCGAACCCTGAACCTCAGGACTACGAATCCGAAGCGCTGTCCACCCAGCTGTCAGGCGTTTTTTCCTTTGGCATACCAAAGGAAAAAGTATGAAACGTTAAATAAAAGTTCATAATAGGATTGCCATGCAAAGCCGTTCTTAATGAGACAACACAACACATGATAGACTAACTCGCTCTTTTTGACAAGCAATTGACAAGTTTGTCCACATCTCTAAAAGAGGATAATGAAAGACACAGTTTAACCAAGACTGTAATGTGTGGTTATATCACAGATCAGTTGCGACACAGGATATGGGAGGACACATTCACAGAGAGTGGCCGGGACACCCGAGTGAGCGACTCAACACCAGCAGGTCCGTGAGGACGTCTCCGTCATAACTGTCAGAACATGGATAGTAGAACACCTGGAGAGGCGTAACTTTTTAACCGAGAGCCGACATGAATCTCAGATGAGGCAGAGTATGCCTGGCGAGCCTGATTGAATTCCTGAATATACTTGAGGTTCACCATCTCTCTCTAGTGGCCTCGATGGGGACAGGAAGCTGGAGGGTTGTTAAAGAAGCAGTCTTGAATAATCCCTTTGGGCTCGTTCTCCACTCACAATCGGAAATCCCGCGTTCGGATCCCAGGCGGGACAGAAATGGTCGGGCAAGTTTCCCAGTTCACCTAGCAGTAAATAGGTACTCTGGAGTTAATAATCAGCTTGTTGTGGGGTCGCATCCTGGGGGAGGGTCTCTAATTCGAGTTTGGAGTGGACCTCGATATAAGCCTAACGCATGTATACAGCCTATATCTTTCCCCGAGAAAATGAATTGTTGTTCCTAATTTCTTTTCAACTACAATAATGTCTTGGTATTTATGCCTTTGGCGGGTATGCAGTTCTATGGATTTATAACCGTATGGGTGAAAAGTCATCTCCTGTTTGCTGTATTACATTCATTTAATAAGTCACCAAGGTACGGCTAGAGATGGAGAGATTGGTGAATTATCTCTTTCTAGAGATCTAGATGATCAAAAAAGTCTTTGCCAATGCCATAAAAGGCTGATTCATAAGTTGGAAAAGCAGGCTGGGATATTTAGGAAGTTATTTTTACTAAATTATTGAGTATCTGAAAACCTAGAGAGGTTATGGGTGACGTGTCTAGATCGAGGGAAAGTACGTCAACCGTACTTGGACGACTACTCTTCCTGATTTGTGTAGACGACCTCCTGGAGCAGGAAGGGTCGTACATGTCACTGTAGGCAGACGATGCTGAACTCATTTATTTTTGTTATTAACAAGTTTAGGCATTCACAGTTGAAAAAGGTAAAGACTAACAATGACTGCCTGAAACTACATCAAGGCTAATATAGGTGTAGTATATGACAACAGTGACCAATAGTAGGCAGACAAATGGGTACTGGACTTAAATTTCACAAATGTCAAGAAATAAGGTGTAGGAGAAGGGACTAAGACAGAGGAAGCAGCTGCAGGAATCAAATAACATCAGCAGTACACACAGAAATCACAATTGCGTGATGCATCAAATGAACAAAACCATGTCGTAGCTCACTCGATTAAGGCAGCGTCTGGGATGCTCTCGGACGTAGGTTCGAATCCTCGTCACGGCCCTTGTGGATTTGTTCATTTGATGCATCACGTAATTGTGATTTCTGTGTGTAAATCCCAAATGAGTTTGTGTGCTTACAAATGGAAGTAGGTCGATCTTATTAGTTCATGATTTATATTGTGGTATTTGTTACTCAATGTTGCATTGAGTAACAGAAGATCTTGAAGATCTTCAAAACAGAAGATTTGTTCATTTGGGATTACGTTTTAGTATTTCTGCGACATTGTCTTAATTATACTTAACGTATTTAGTGATCCCGTATTCCTAAGGTTTCCCAACGTCAAGAAAACGGTCCATTTAAAGTGTCCACTCCTAACCTACCAGAGGACCTAAAACAGAAAACGAGACAGTACGTCACTTTCGCGAGCCGCTTCCATTTTCTAGTACGACAATTTGTGTTGGCCTTATGTAACGCACACGAGCGAAATGCGACGTTTACTGAACTTGCTCTGGACGCCACGCCGTGAGGCGTCAGTACTCGTGTACACACAAGCCTTGGTATTGAGCTACTTTACGATTCGTTATCTCTAAACAATTAAATTTATCTATGCATATAAATATATCTACTTATTTTAATACAATTAATCATCATTTTGAGGTGCTCAAAGGGAAACTTACCGTGCACGGGTAGATGTCCTGAGGCTGAGGACACATGGCGCAAATGATCACCGTGTTTCCATTGGGTCGTGCGTGGGTGGCGACCGGTGTATGGCGCTGCGGGTCCTTGCTGTGAGTCTCCTGCTGAAAACGACCTGGGAAAGCAGGAGGTAACACCCTTGGAGCTCCGTCTCCCTGACCACTACCAGGAAGGACAACTCGGCCATCGACGAAGGCAGGAACGATGGCTTGCGCCGCCACCGAGCACATGAACACCTTCACCCACATAGTTCGGAGCTACTGGAGGTACGTTGAGTGTAGCAGGAATATCATCCGACGGGCATGTACGGTAGGTCTAAACACAAGTCAGAAAGTTTTGCGTTGATGTTAAAGCCCCGCTGGCAAAAAGCTCTAGCCTAATATTTTAAATGCGCCTCTCCAAATCAATTAGATCAAAAGTCTACGAGAGGGTCATGAGAATGGAGCGTTCGTCAGCGAGTCAGTTGCACAACTTGGCGCCGAGAGCTGGGCATCATTGTTTATATGGCCAGGGTGAAGTGGGTATTCAATCCAGCGACCGCAGACGGGTGTGGGGGAGAAACACAGTGGTAACTATAGCACACTGCTTGTGGTCTACCATGGTGCCTTGATAATCACGGAAGGGGCGTCACACTCCCGTTTACTAGACTGTGCTGAGTCCCACCGCCATCCTTCTTGAAGATCCAGATTTGGGTTGTGGCTGTGCTGCTTTTTTGATGTACGTTTGACTCTGGGAGTGACAGCTGTTGTATTAGAGGCGTGCAGGGGCGTGCGTGGGGAGGTGAAGCGTGCAGGGGAGCTGGTGATCTCTGACCACCGGGGGGATACAGGTTATCACCGTGTTGGTCGCTGCCTCCCCGTATTGTTCAGTGGGAGGTGTGGAGCAAGGCACGTACTCCCTCGCTCCTCACCCTTACACCTCCCTTCTCTGACTTTCTACAGTTACACGCCCTCTACAGCCACACGCCCTCTACAGCCACACACCCTCCACAGCCACACACCCTCTACAGCCACACGCCCTCTACAGCCACACGCCCTCTACAGCCACACGCCCTCTACAGCCACACGCCCTCCACAGCCACACGCCCTCCACAGCCACACGCCCTCCACAGCCACACACCCTCCACAGCCACACGCCCTCCACAGCCACACGCCCTCCACAGCCACACGCCCTCCACAGCCACACGCCCTCCACAGCCACACACCCTCTACAGCCACACGCCCTCCACAGCCACACGCCCTCCACAGCCACACGCCCTCCACAGCCACACGCCCTCCACAGCCACACGCCCTCCACAGCCACACGCCCTCCACAGCCACACACCCTCCACAGCCACACACCCTCCACAGCCACACGCCCTCCACAGCCACACATCCTCCACAGCAACACGCCCTCCACAGCCACACATCCTCCACAGCAACACGCCCTCCACAGCCACACACCCTCCACAGCCACACACCCTCCACAGCCACACATCCTCCACAGCAACACGCCCTCCACAGCAACACGCCCTCCACAGCCACACACCCTCCACAGCAACACGCCCTCCACAGCCACACACCCTCCACAGCCACACACCCTCCACAGCCACACATCCTCCACAGCAACACGCCCTCCACAGCAACACGCCCTCCACAGCCACACACCCTCCACAGCCACACACCCTCCACAGCCACACGCCCTCCACAGCCACACATCCTCCACAGCAACACGCCCTCCACAGCCACACACCCTCCACAGCAACACGCCCTCCACAGCAACACGCCCTCCACAGCAACACGCCCTCCACAGCCACACACCCTCCACAGCCACACACCCTCCACAGCAACACGCCCTCCACAGCAACACGCCCTCCACAGCAACACGCCCTCCACAGCCACACACCCTCCACAGCCACACACCCTCCACAGCAACACGCCCTCCACAGCAACACGCCCTCCACAGCCACACACCCTCCACAGCAACACGCCCTCCACAGCAACACGCCCTCCACAGCCACACACCCTCCACAGCAACACGCCCTCCACAGCAACACGCCCTCCACAGCCACACACCCTCCACAGCCACACACCCTCCACAGCAACACGCCCTCCACAGCAACACGCCCTCCACAGCCACACACCCTCCACAGCAACACGCCCTCCACAGCCACACACCCTCCACAGCAACACGCCCTCCACAGCCACACACCCTCCACAGCAACACGCCCTCCACAGCCACACACCCTTACATTCTTACAGTCTTGTACTAGCACGCATAGCGTTTGCGGCAAGTCCTTAATCCTAATTTTCACACATACCCTCAGGAAGCAGCCCGTAGCAGCTGTCTAACTCCCAGGAACCTATTTACCGTTAGGATACTGGGGCATCAGGGTGAAAGAAACTCTGCCCATTTGTTTCCGTCTCCGCCGGGGATCAAACCCGGACCCTTAGGACTATGAACCCCGAGCGCTGTCCTCTCAGCCGTCAGGTCTCCAAACAGCCACAGACTCATCCAATGGGTTAGATGAGCACATTACACATGTATATCATAAACAGGGTTACATCAACAGCATATGAGAATATGTTGGCAATCTTGAGAACGTCGTTGTAAAACTTTAATGATTATTTCAAGGCATTCTACACAGCATATGCGAGACCAATAACGGAATATGCAGCACCGGCTAGAAATCCACACCTTGTGAAACATAAAACCAAAACTGAATAGTACAGAAATTTGCAACAAAATTAGTTCCAGAGCTAAGAGGGTTAAGGATAGGGGAACTAAATATCACAACCCTATAGGATAGAATAGTGAGAGGGAATATGATCACAATATAGAAGATACTGAGGTATAAACCAGGTGGACAAAAACAGATTCTTTGAATTGAGAAGAAGTAGAACAAGCGTACGTGAGTAGAAACTGGACACGCACATGAGTCGAAGGAATGTAAGGAAATATTCGTACCCTGTACGGGGGACGGGGGGGGGGGGTCAACAAGTAAAATGCACTGAAAGAACAGGTTGTGGAAGCCACCTCCATCCACAACTTTAAGACCAAATTCGACAAAGAATTTGAACGTCAGAATAGTTAAATTATAACGCAGCATGTATAGCAAGGTTAGTAGGCTCAGTAACCTACTAATAAACAGCTAGACCTCACTTTCCCGTGGTCACTGATAGGTGAGTACGAACACACAAAAACATGGAAATGTGAGAGCGCAGTGGGCTCAGTCGTTGGTTCACAACCGAAGATTGTGTGTTTGATCCCCGCGGCAGTAAAGACGCGTTTGGGCAACGGTTCCTTTCATCTGATATCTCTTCCACCAAGCAGTAAATAGGTACTGATGAGTTAGACAGCTGTTGCGGGTTGCATCTTGGAGATGGTTGGTGGATGGCCAAACAGATATGATAAAATAGGTCGGGAGTCATTACATTAGAAAACCGGCAGTTGGAAGGGCGGGATTCAAAAGCTAACAGCTCGATTGTGTGGGCACAAATAGGTGAACACACACACACACACACATGAACATATACACACGTTGCAACCGTGTCACATATGTCACATATAATGTCACAGAATGTCATATATATATATACTTATTTATAAGCGAAATAGTGACTATAAGCAACAAGTCATATATGCACTGTCTTGTGCGAGAGCGGGTTGCACAAAGCCAATTCCTGTCATGCCATCTTCAGGTTCTTCTCGACAGGATACAGGTCCCAGGGGCCCTCCTCGCCCGAACCACCCATCACACCAGTGCGTTAGGTACACACTATCTCTCTCAATTACAATAGCTTGCGGTATTGTCAGGCACCCACTGCTGATAGCCCGAGTGCCAACCAAACCCGATATCTACCTCGATAATTAGCATTGACGTCAGTAAAGTCACCACAAGTGCGCGCCATCTCTTCCCTGACACCAGAGACTGGCTGGGAATCCGGCTCTGAAGACCTATTTTGTCTCACCTTCATTAGAGATCAAGTATAGACTATAGACTACCACTCTCTCTAAGGCGGTCCACCGTCTTCCTGCTCTCACTGAGTATTCCTCGGTCCCTTTGCTTTCAGTTTCCACGTGTCTCGATCTCTTCCCTCTCATACCAAATAGTACATTCCCTGTCCACTTTGTCATTCCTACCATGGAAAGTAGTTGTTCCTGCCTACTTTGTCATTTCTGTTAGGCAGTTATTTCTACTGTCATCCCACGGTAAACCGACTTTGCCTATCAACTTTTGATCTCTTGCATTTCTTTGTCTCCTTTCGATCTTATTTACTTTATGAATGTGAATCTAATGTTCAGGTCTCGCCTATTTCCCGGGGTCCCTTAGGTCTGGGACCACGTCATACATGGAGTGGGTTTTGGGATTTATTCTACTCCCAAAGCCCGGGCTGGGTCACGGCTTGACTTTTGATAGCTTGGTCCAACAGGGTGTTGCTTGTAGCGCAACCCGTTCTCGCACTTTCTTATAGTCAATATTGACTTATTAAATACCTATAATTGGCTAAGTAATAATTGTAATTACGAAGCAATAAGATGCTTATCTTAACATACTAAAAAAAAAAAAAGAAGGTTAGGTAAGGTCGGTGTTTTCTATGAAGCTTTTCAAGGTAAACTAAAATATTCACAATAAATTAGTATGTCACATATGCACTTATTTAATAAGTCAATATTGACTTAAAGAAAGTGCGAGAACGGGTTGTGTAGCGGCCCACAATAGCAATAACAACTTTTAAGGTCCCATACTTCTTGCAGGAATGCGTCTAATTTTTACTTAGTCTATTTTTGTTCCGGCAGTATTTATGCTTGTTGAGTTGGCTCACCTCTCGAGTAGTACTCACCTAGTTGTACTTGCGGGAGTTGAGCTCTGGCTCTTTGGTCCCGCCTCTCAACTGGTGTACAGATTCCTGAGCCTACTAGGCCCCATCATATCTACATTTCACGTCACAAAAATGATGTACCAAATTGCCCGAGCCTAACCTCCTCCGTTCTATCCTAAGTCCTTATACTGACGTCTCTTCCAAGTGCTATATAGTCGAAGTGTCTTAGTGCTTCTTCTTGATAATTACCTTACCTAACCGAGGATCCAATAATAGAAAATAACAGCCTGTCAATTAAGCGAACTGCTATGATTTATAGTTCATTACATTTCGACAGTGGGGATTTTTACATCAAAATGCAATGTATAAATTATTTGAGAGGACAGGTTGATGCTGTGGATCTCTGATACACATCAGAGGTTCACAGCATGTGCGTATGGCACTTCTGCTCACTGGTTCTATTCTGCATATCCTACTGTATTGTTCCCTCCATTAAGTCGTTATTTTACTGTATAAATTTGGGACCTCGCCTTCCTGTATCTTTCATGTCTATATACTGATACCTCTCTCGTTTCCTTCCTAGATAGGACATTTTAAAGCTAAAGCTTTGAGACAGTCCAAATAATTTAGACGCATTATCATCTTCAAGTGGGCCGTATATGTTCTCTCTACTCCCTCTTGTTACATAATTGCTCATCAAATCTGGTAAGCACTGCAGAGTATATATAATATATATAAGTATTTTTTCCTATGGGGAGGACCATAGCATTAGGGATAATTATACAAGAATTATTCCATATAATTTCAGGATTGGTCTCACTCACATGTTCATATATTTTGAGCTTTGTCAGCCGCATCAAACAGACCATTTGTGTACAGTAATATGGATTTTTAGATTTATGCCTCTTTGGCCATAATAAACTATTACAATCGTTACAAGGAATCTTACAGATTCCCGCACCTTAGCTTTTCTTTTATAAATACATATATACAATATACATTTACTAATTCCTTGCCAACTTTATTTGCATAACTGAAAATGATTTTTTTTGTACCCATTTTGCTTAAATTCTTAGCAGCATGCTCTTATGTTAGAACTATATGGAATGACCACGCTGTTCTTAGAAGCGATCTCCTGCTGCCTAGTGGAGTTATCCTGGTAGAAATTTACCTTGGCAACTTTGAAAACTTCGCCCTGGAACCAATTAGAGTATCCTACTTTATTGAGTAAATACCCTAATTGGTTCATGGGTGAAGGTTTAAAAATTGCCCAAGTAAATTTCTACCAGACTAACACAACTAGGCAGCAGGATGGAAGGGAACTATCGGGAGAAAGTGCCAAGCCATTACAACTATATAGCGCTTAGAAGGAGTCGGGATAATGATTTGGGATGGGACGGGGGAAGAGGAATAGTGCCCAACCACTTGGACGGTCTGGGATTGAACGCCAACCTGCATGAAGCAAGACCATCGCTCTACTGTCCAGCCCAAGTTGTTGAACAAGATTGCCTCTAAGAACAGCTTGACCATGTCCAATAGTTCTAACACTGAGCATACCACTAAGAACTAAAGCAAAATTGGTAAAAAAAAATTCATTTTCATTTAAATGAAGTTGGAAAGGATCTTGCTTTCTCATTACATTTTCCCTCGTCACTTAAGGTTTTTTTTTAGGTTTATTTTTTTAAGCAAAAATACAATATTCACAAAGCACTGTAAGAAGAAGAAAAACAACAACATTATGATCAAATATTTATTAACAGGAAATTTCTTTAATTTCAGTTTTAAACTTGTGTATTTCACATCTGAAAAAGTGTAATTGTACAATTGCCGTAAGAGATATCAAGCTGGAAGTGGTGTATGACCTGGTACTCTTTGTCACAAAATGTGATTGTATATACTGTATAATTTATTTTAAACATGGCAGCAAATAAATAAAAATTCCCCACAACAATGAAATCCCTAATGTCTGCTTTTTTTCTTGTGCTTTCGCGGAGGAGATCTAGTGTGTGATCTCCGTTTTTTGGGAGAGCGTGACCTGTGTCTTCTGGAACTAGGAGATCTTGACCGAGTTCGATGACGAGACCTATAAAATAAGGAAAGTGTAAAAGATCTTTTCTTTGGCTACATCTTCTGGCATTCTATCTGGCAAGGGAAAGGCCAAGAGAGAATATCAAAAGATATATCCATCGAAGATTCACCAAGTGTCTGTAAAATAAAACCATTTTTTAATTCTGTTCATGGAAGAGAAAATGATAAGTGTCAAGTAAAAGTGTGCAAAAGTAGATAAAAAAATATATGTAGTATGTATAAGGTGGAAATAAAGTAATAAAAAAAATGTGTAAGATTTTCAAGAAGGCCTGGTACAGTGGTAGTGCCAGGTAATTAAAGAAACAATTATACCATTATGTGTATGGAAAACCTTCAAAATACTACTATTCAATTCAGAAGAAATTGCTTGCTTATCAAAATGCAAACTACTTTTGTCACTGTTTTATCACTGTGCAATTAAATAACACAAACATAATGCTGCAATGCTTTTCCAAACTAAATCCCTTCAAGAACTTTCCAACAATATGTTCTCAAACCACTGGCCTGATTCTTTATGCACAAGCTTCCATTTCCTGGATACAAAACATTGTTTATGTGGTATCTCCTCACTAATTTTCATTATTACCAACACCCTTACCCAGTTTTTTATTTTCAGGAGAAGCATCAGCGTGGACATGGTATGGAGGCAATCTAGGAAAAAACGAATGCTAAAGGTATTTAATAATTGTTTAATATGCATCAAAATTTGTATTATTGTTTCCCCTGCTAAATTCTTATTCAATCAGATTGCTCCAGAAACCTTTGCAACCTACGCAACATTCAAAATCCTTTCGAGTCTTCATATATTTTTCAATGCAGTTCCTCCAAACTTTCTATGGATGAAAAAATATTGTAAAACACAACATAACCTTTAACCAAAATGTTACTCACTTGTGGGGTGACCTGGACCTCTTTGTGGGCCTTCTCTCCTCAGGCGTTGAGCTACGACTTCGATGACGATGATGTCTTCTTTCACTCCCTTCTTCTCTCTCAATCTAATTCATTAAACAAAAATAAAACATTATATGAAAATGTATGGGATAGATGAGGCAGTTTGTGAGGTAGGTAGGAGTGAAGTAATAATGAACCTTAGTGAAAACAAATATAGTTAAAAAGTTGCATAAACATAGTTTTGTTGGACGAATCAGGAGAAACTAGGTAGAATAGAGCCAGAAAAATAATACATTAGAATTTGGAGCAAAGTGGAGTATGTTTGAAATTAGCAATAGGAAAATCGAGACTAGCCAAGCTGGTGCACAGCAGCATAGGGAAGAAAATAACAGGACCACATCTTCTTGCCTTAGTATCATTTGTGCATTAAGCTTGAATGGTCTCCAAGTTAACATGCATCAGAAAACTCTTTACCTCTGAAGGATTTGAACTGGACAGCCAGGGCTTCATGCCCCTTGGCGTGTCCAGTACTGTTATGCATAAATGATACTCGTGTGGCCCCAACACGACGAAGTGATTTGATGAAATATCTGTGTCCAAAATGGTCACCGAGAGCTGTCGAGAATTGGGTTAAGGGTCAGACAACTTCCAATTCTGGGAACAGTCAGTGTGGCCTAACGGTAGTAGTACAGGACTGTGCACAGTCAGTGTGGCCTAACGGAAGTAGTACTGAACTCGCCAAGGGACATGAGCCCTGGCTATCTGTGTTCGAATCCTACAGGTTTAAAGTTTTCTGATACACACACATTATTTTTATATTATATATATATATAATATATATATATATATATATATATATATATATATATATATATATATATATATATATATATATATATATATATATATATAATATATATATAATATATATTACACACACACTGCTTGGGTAACAGCTTCTTCTCCATATGAACCTACCCTGTCTTTGCGCCCTGGAGATCACTCCAGACTGACAACCAGAGCGCAACCCCATAGTCTCCTGAGACTGATGGATGCCTACTACTACTACTACTATATATACTGTATATGGTAAACAACAGAAATACCAGGAGTGAGCTCTAGAGTTAATGTAATTTATGCTAACTCTCTGGATTCTTTGAAATAACTAAGCCCTAATCCAACCTGGATACCTGGAGGGTTCTGGGAGTTCTTCTACTCCCCGAGCCCGGCCTGAGGCCAGGCTCGACTTGTGACAACTTGGTCCAACAGGCTGTTGCTTGGAGTCGCCCGCAGGCCCACTTCAGCCTGGTTGGTCCGGCACGACTTGCAAGAACTCATCTAAATGCCTCTTGAATACATCCACCTTTGTTCTGGCAATAACGCTAATGCTTGCTGGGGTGGTGTTGAACAGCTGTGGACTTCTGATGTTCAGTATTCAGACCCCTCATAATACCACATGACTAATGTCAACTGCTTTTCCCATTATCAATTCAAGGAATTTTCTTAAAATAGATGTTAAGATGACTGCACAGAAAAAACAATGGAGATACGATCAGAATATACAAAATACTTAAGGGAATCGACGAATTATTGATAGGCAAGTGCCAAGAAGAGTATGCTAGTAAAAGCAACATTTGTATATGCGAGACACTATCCCAATGTACCATTCACTTGGAAAGCAGATACAATTCTGCGAGTGAGTAAATACATGACAGTGATGTTCAGACAATTTTTCAACAATATTAAAAACTAGATAAGAGGAAGCTCTTACTTAGATGTAAGAAGATACATTGGATGAGAAAATCTTTGTAGAGAAATGACAAGTAGCTTCCATTAGTACATACAGGCCCCATACACAAACATAGAACTAATGACAACACAAATGTTTTTTTTGGCATACATCCCAAATTATATACGCAATTGAGACAATAATCCTTTGTTCTCTTTTCTAACATTTGCCTACCTTTTTCAGCATTTTGTGACGATAATGAGCTACTTGTCGGTGGATGGAGTATCCAGGTTTAAGGGAACGGAGACCCTGCTCTAATTCATCTTGATATTGCAATACTCTAACTTCTATTTCACGTAATCTTGCTCTTCGTTCTTCACTAACATCTCTAAACAGTGAATAAACATTAATTACAAATTGTAAATTACATCCAAACAATACATTAATAATGTCCATTAACCCAGAGAAACTGTGGCTAAAAAAAAAAAAAAAAAATCATATTCATAACCAGACCGAGTTTGATAATAGAAAACCATTTTCATACACTAAAGGTCAAGTAAACATGTCTTCATAATCCAATCCATACATGAAAATGAGTGATGACATTTTGACTTGACAGGGGTCCAAAATAGACTGAAATGTCTTTACTTTCAGGGGGGTCCAGGACAAACTAAAATGTTGCCACCTTCAGGGGACTAGGATCGACTAACATGTCAACACTTTCATGTATTTGGGGGTTGGGTTATTGGTTTTCAGTTGCATTATAACGACTTATTCTCTGCAGATGTGTTCATATTTTATGGACACATTACTAGCTTTGAAAAAAACAATAATTTGAGTGTTTCGGAGTTTACAATTACAATCCAAACACCTTTTAAAACATACTAAATTTCATTATGACAACATTCAATATGGCAAAATTCCTAAATTTTCTGAACATGCATGACTTTTTTCTTGTATAAAAAATAAAAACACCATCTACTTATATATTTGATACCTTGTTCCCTCTGGGAACACACTTGAAGGAAATGAACTCATTTTCTCTAATTTATTATGGAGTACATGTCTTAATATATAAACTGCATATAAATGAAATACATAGAAGATTCATATTGATAAAAAAAAATAATCTGAGTACTTTAAATATTTTACAAATACTCTTATTTACTTTACATGTTAATTTTAATTTAATATACTAAGTTGATCTTAACTAAAAAGACTAAAAACTAACAGCCAATTTAAGGAAATTATAATTTTTTATGATTTTTTTAGTATGTGATCATTACTTATAAATCAATTAAGCTTTATCCCTGCAATGGGATAACAAGAAAAGTGCATAAAAGTGCACAAGAGAGCCTTAGCAACACCCATGTTAAACCTGACTCCAAAAGAATAAACTTAACTGGAGGTGTGAAGCAAAATCATTTATGGCTGCAATTTCTCAATACTTGAACAGAGTTCAAAACTTTATGAATGTGCTACTTGATGAAATATTCAATCTCAAATACTTAAAATTGTTGCATGAACTAACAAGCATCATTGTCCTTTGTTCTATTCCCCTTGACTAGGCCACTGGCAGTGGAATAACTACTAATGTAAATTAGTAGTTGATTAACTACTAATTATTCCTTTTTTACACAGGTGGGTATTGGAACAGACGACTTCTGACTCCTGTCAGCAGGCTCTAGCCTCATGCCATAAAATGCTACAGAAACTAAACAAAATAATATAACACATGTTTGACATAACCTTATCAACTGCATTCCTTAGGTGAGCCATTAAGTTTATTTCCATGTGCTGATATCTTGCAGAAATACAGTACTTAGACCAATCTTACCCCTGAAGTCTGTCAAATCCTCTAGAGTCTTCCGAGTACTCAGATGTATTGTCTTGAGATTGTGAATCATCTTCGGATGAATCTCTAGTCTTCCTTTTATAATCATCATACACAAGTGGAATCCCATCAAGGTCATCTTCATCTAACAAAAAGATGTCCAATGTAATTACGACATGTGCACAAAAACATAGACTATATATTAAGTACAGTATTCTACAAAAAAAAAAAAAAAAGTTCCTTAGGAGGAAAAGAAAATTCACTTGCTCCTAAAGTAAGAATACTTTAGTGTGTGTGTGTAGTTAGCATCTTAAAATATCACTGACATGATCTGGAAGTCTCATATGTTGGTTTCTGTAAACCATCTAACTACCAATACTTAGGTACAGAAGGGATACAGAAGGGATCCCTAAGGTAAAGGAAAGGGTACGGAAGTAAATTCTTCCAAATGTTTCTGGCTTCTTCAACCATTGTTGGATATACTACAGTACAAACATTCTTTTTCTATATGATGAGGGTGACCCACAGAACTTCCTGAAAGATCTGAGCAACATTAGTGCCAAGAATATTTCTGAAGAAGCAGTAGATGTATTTATCCACTTGCTTGTAATGAGATGTAGAAACATGGTAATTGCTTTAATGGTATATTTCAGAGAAGAACCAATGAAGGAATGGTGGATGTCCACCATACAGAAAGTTATATCATTATACCAGTCCAAAGTACAGTATTTCAGAAAAAATATATTTAAGTTAAACAAGTCCTCCTGATAAAACAACCCTGCTTCCATCAAAACAAGTTTGCCATTACTTTAAGTTCTATCTCTACTATGAACTACAAACCCATCTCATGTAAGTACAGTAACTATAATCTCTTCAGGATGTAACAATTCAGAATAATTTACTTGAAATCAATTTGACCCTCAATTCTTAAAAAAAAAAAAAAAATGAATAAATGACACTGGAGAATCCCTACAGGCAGGCAGTTCATATTTATATGTCCACCCAAATACACACACTATATGTGTGGGAACCTGCCACTATGGCTTTAGAAAATAAAGGAGATCTTTTATTGATGGCTTCAACAGGAGGTGAAGCCAAGACAAACATGCTATGATGAATTTTGAGCACAAAATTAGATCACATAAAAGTAACTGAATCTGACATTTCTAGAATGTCATGTGCACTCGATTCAAAGTAGGCAAAACCCCTATTTAATGTTTTTGTGTTGGGTATAAATAGGAGCTGCCCCACACGGGCCAATAGACCTCCTGCAGTTTCCTTTAATCCTATGTTAAACAAAAATAAGAACTGCTTCGACTTGAGAATGGTCCAGGACGGACCGAAACGTCGTCGTCCCTTCAACTTCTAGTGTGTGGTCTGGTCAACATACTTCAGCCACGTTATTGTGACTCATCGCCTGCAACTGCTTCGAATTGGTGAATAGGCAGTCTGCAGTGTCTATTATTCCTATGTTGGATATAAATAGGAGCTGTCACTTTATGAGTTGCCATTCAGAGGCTAATAGGCCTTCTGCAGTTTCCTGTATTCTAATGTTCTTCAGGCCATTTAAGGTGTTTAGGTGTCTCCTTGTGATTAATAAGGCTTGGCCTAACGTATGTCTAGAGCAATATTTCATAAATGGCTTCAAAGTAATTCCAAACCCGAGATGAAGGATCGCTTCAAAAGTCTTGGCTTACCAGAAAAAAAATTAAGTGATGCTATTTTATGGTAATAACCCATCACATTCACAAGAAGATGAGCGAACCAAGGAAAATATATTTGCTACATTCTTGCCACTCAACCTAACTTTCACCACCTTCCTCAATTAACACAACCATACTCGCCTGAACATTCCACGATCATATGTGGAGAAATATCTGGACCCTTGATGAGTACGCATATTTGGTAATATTTATTGTTATTATCAATACAAAGTTCTGAGGTGTTTTGTTTAAAAACTATCAAATGAAGCTGTAATATATTATGTATTTTTGCATATAAAAATATAATTTTTTATGGTTGAGACGATTTGACCAAAGATCTAATCACAATTACATATCCATATTGAACTAATAGGATTGGAAGATATCAAATCTATATAGTATACACAAAAGTCTCAATCACACAAATAGAATCATGACAAGCAACTTGCCATGACTGTTTTGGCTGCGCTGGGTGTGTGGACCAGAGTTATCATACACGGGTGTGCTGTCCGAGCCATCTGCTCCCTCATCTTCACTCTGGTTGGCCTCAACCACCTCCCATTTAGAAGTTGTAACAGCCTGTATACAACAAAACCATATCATTAACAGTTGAAGAAAACTGAGGATATCCAGTTTGTCAGAAAGTATATAATAACACACAATTCTACTAGCAGCTATTGAAAATGAACAAAATATACAAGTGATATGAAGTTACATTTGATTAAATACTGACCTGAGCTTGGACTCGCTTGGGGCTGACACTCTCCCATTTAGAAGAGACAAACCCTGGGCCAGGACCATTGTCAGAAACTATGGGGCCCTTCAGTGGGAGGCCATCCACACCACCAACATCTTCATCATCCACTATAAAGAGAGTTCATTTTGAACAAATTATCAAGATGACAACATTTTCATTAATACTTTCTATCAACTCTTTGATATGCATTATCTATTAATAAGGTTACCAGTGATAGATGCTAGAAAAATTCCTGTCAAATCTCTCGTTTAGTCCTAAGGCTTATATGGTAAGAGAGACTATTAACCACACACATCATGAGGAGGTTCATTTCCTAAGCCCATTATGTGTATCTTTAACCTTTTTCAATACAGCCAACAGGATGGGTATGGGGTGCATAACAAATAAAATCAATCGACTATGCATATCTTACACAAACAATAACAGCAACTCATAAAAAAAAACTGCGATAATAAAATTTCAAGCATATTATAATTTGTATATTCATGAGTTACTTATAATGTATGTAAATGCATCAGATGATCAGCAAGCATCCAAGCAAAATGGAAAAGGCTGCCAGATTTCATCTGTGCATATTTTAAATACATTTTTAGTCAACTATTTGTATTACCCCTCATTTATCCACCAACCTCCATGCCCAGAGAAGACCACCAGACTTATTCAGACATCCAGGAGGACACCAGAGTCGTTCAAACATCTAGAACGACACCAGAGTCATTCAAACATCTAGAACGACACCAGACTCGTTCAAACATCCAGAACGACACCAGACTCATTCAAACATCCAGAACGACACCAGACTTGTTCAAACATCCAGAACGACACCAGACTTGTTCAAACATCCAGAACGACACCAGACTTGTTCAAACATCCAGAACGACACCAGACTTGTTCAAACATCCAGAACGACACCAGACTCGCCAAAACATCCAGAAGGACATCAGACTTGTTCCATCATCTAAGACACCAGACTTCCCAAAGCTCCAGAATGGCATCCAACTTATTCAAACCGATAGAATAACACCAGCACTGCCTAAACCCAAATGCCTCCAATATTGCATTCATATAAGTCTGGTCTTTTCATTGTCAACCTTTCTCCCCCCTCGCATGACAATCATCTCACAGTAATTCATTATTTTCCAGGTCACTGTGTGGCTTTTTCAGCCTCCCTGTGTCTTCCACTTTTTTTCCCCAAGCAAATATTAATTTTGCCTACTTAAAAAAGTACTGCATTATATCAATGAAAGATATATTGTAGGAATTATGCAACAACTTACAGGGAGCACCATCTAGATCATCTTCATCGTCATCATCATCATAGCCAAGCAGAGCCGAGATTGCAGCACTCTTCATTAAAGGAGAATTAGCAATTGGTATACCATCAATATCTTCTTCTTTCTCCTCCTCTTTGATGGGTATACCATCTACATCATCTATAGGAATGCCATCAACATCATCTGTTGGGATTTGCACTGGATCCACAGAAGTGGACATCATCATCATCATCTCCTCTTCCAACTCCATCTTCGTCTCCTAATTGAAAAGAAAGACGAGCATTACACAAGTGTTCATTAGACGCCCATTATTTAGTACCATTTCTTATACCATTTGTTTTGAGTACATCAAAGGCATAAAGGCTACATACAAACTGACTAAAGACTCCTGCAATAAAAATGAATATTACAAAATTAAACTTTTAAATACATATTTCAAAAGATGATTAAGTAACAAAAATGCACCCTATGAAATTAGGAAATAGTGTATGTAAACAAAAAATAGTTTCTAATTTATTGATTTATGTTTTTTTCCTTGCTGCCATATTTCAACTATCAATATTGGTCACTATATTCAAGGAGACACTACTGTGGAAGTGCAGTACAAGGAGTATTCCTTTTCTAAATTCACAATTTTTCTCTTTGGTTGGCTCACATCCAGAAGGCCTGATGGTCAACACATTTTCAATAATGTACTATACTCCTATTACTCTTGCAATTAAGAAGATTTTACCATTCTTTATAATTTCCAAAATTAACTTGATCCTTTTTCTGTCTCCTGTCTGCTTTACTGCAAAAAGTGTCTGCAGTTGCCTAACAGCATTACAGTATGCTCAAATTTAGGAAAAGCAACGCAAGTGCATGTGTCTAAAAAAAAAAAAAAAAAGTTTACTCATCCTATAGTGGTCACCAATATCCTCTTAAGTCAAACCAGGAGTTTGGAGCTGGTGGCTTTTGCAGTCTGTCAGCGATAGATAAAACAATGACTGTTTAAGTGAAGAAGAAAAAAAAAAGGTTCTCCACTGAGGCAGGATATAAGAAAATGAGGGAAGGATAAAAAGGAAATTACAGTACTATATCTAATCAAGAGACCAAGTGATCTCTAGATGAACTGATGTTTGCTGGCAGTCTAAGAAACCCCCTGGACAACTTGACAAAAGGGAAAGAATTGACATCCATCCCAGAAGCCAGTAAAAGAGGCTATGTCAACGTCAAACAGTAAGTGGCGATAGTATTGGGCATAAGATGGCACTACACAAAAAGTAGACAAACAATGAGACCAATAACAACAAAATGGAAGACAACTGACAGTAAAAAAAAAAAAAAAAAAAAAAAAAAAAAAAAAAAAAAAAAAAAAGGCAGGAAAGTCCATCAGACCAGCCCTTAAATTAGTAGAGAACAAGGATGCAAATACTGTACCACACTAAAAGCAACACCACTTAAGTCTCCATAAAAATTGAAGCATAACTGGCTCAAAATCTCCAGAATGCATCTCCTGATGCAAAATTTAGTGGTTAGATTGCAATCCTTCATTTAAGTCCATCCATGAATCATATGGGGGTGGTGGATTCCAGAGATTGGTAGAAGGCAGGGACAGTGAGCAAGAAGGGTCAAGAACCAAGGCTAAGTTTCTTATTTCCTCTAATAGCTTGGCATCATCAGCAAAAATATTCTTTATTCTTTCTGGTGGAGCATTTATATAGGCAATGAACATTACTGATACAAGACCTGAACCCTGCGGTACTCCACTGGTAACATTTCTCTCGTTTGATACATTGCCTCTAATTACTACCCTCATTTTTGTCAAAAATTTTCATCCATGTTTGAAGTCTCCCTGTCACTCTTACATTATGTTCCAGTCTCTAGAACAACCTCATCTGTGGGACTGTTGAAAGCCATTTTTAGGTCCAGATAAATGCTGTCAACCCAACCATCTCTCTCCTGTAAAAAAATCTCTGGTTCTACCATAGAAACCAAGATTACTTGTTACACAGGATCTTCCTATTAGAAAAACACTGTATACCAGTGAGGGAATGTGTGTGTATGCCCCATGAGCGAGTGTGTATTCATGAGGGAAGGATTCATTGTGACTGCCCAAGTCCTCGGGCCAGGCTTGGGGAGTAGAACACCTCCCAGAACCCCCCCCCCCTTCCCCATCAAGCAGTATTATATTTGGTAAAGGTTCAATAAGTCTCGTTCCTACATGGTAACAACTTACAATGGTACACCATACCAACACATTATCAACTTTCTCTGAGTTTTAACAAACCAAAATATATTTCATGGTGGCAAGAGCTACAGGTTTTCCAACTATTGCAATTAGCTTCAGCTAACCTGTTTCATGACAGCAAGTTATTTGGACAGGTTTAGACAAATAATTAAATGCATCTCTTCCAACACACAAGCCAGCAAGTAGGGGATGCTTGATCAATGGCTATGAAGACTTATGATAATTCAAATGGCCAATTCTAAGCCAGGTAAAATTCATATCAAATGTTGGTGGATATTTCTAGAAAACTATACTTTAGCTAAGAGTTGTGGCCACATGGTCAGTAGGATAGGGAAAGTATATACAAATACACCGGAAAGTCAAATCAAGAAAGCATTCGTTATCATCTAAACAGGAATCTTAAAAGATAGAAACTTTGAATCCTTACTCTTTTCACAAGGCCTAAGAATAGGTTTTGAAGATGGATTAGGAACTCGTGAGGGTAAATGGCCCAGTCTTCCCAGGCACGGCAACACTGCATAATACGTTGCTTGACCTGCTCTGCTCGAAGCCTTGACTCCACAAGATTATATGCTATGTGAAGCCCTTCAAATATTTCTGCTAGTTTGGCCTGAAAGCTGTATAAAGTATAAATACAAAAGTTACATTCAAAGTTCTGCAAAGAAAAGCATCAACATAAAAGCAAGAACAGGAAAAGAAAGAAGTAATGTATTATTAACAAATATTAATTTGAGTATTTCTTATTGATTTAAAATTCAGAGAATAATCACACATGAATGGTAAGAGAAACTATGATTCAAAAACCAATCAATTGCAAGTGAAAGTGAAATACAAGCAAGAGGGCTAAAAGCGAGAATGGGTGAGAGAAAGATCAAGTGAGTAGCAGCAGTACAGTAGAGTATGCCTTGAGTATTGTAGTTTATCAAATAATTAAATACAGAAAAAGTATACTAGTATGCTACATTTGTAAATATGGAAACAGGAGAGGTGTAAATTAATATGCATGGGGTGAGACGAATTAATCACAAAGAATGAGAAGAGAAAGTTATTAGGGCAGTAATTATGTCCATATGGAGAGGCCAGCTAGCGTTGAGAGTAAAAGGGAATAATACATTGGTTAGAGATGAAAGGAAGTGTGACTAGTATATTTTATGGGTTGAATACTTAAAATTCTCACTCAAGTTATAGTACTGTAATGAAAAATGTGGATAATGCAAAGCAACAATCATAGTAAAGAAAAAACCTACGTTGAATGTAATGAAACACCATCTTCTGGGAGACCTGGAGGCTCCTTGGAGCTAACCAGGCTGATATGAATGTATTAAACCCTGGTATCGGTCAAGCAAATGGAGTTCTTAGGCCTACCGGGACCACGAGGCAGAACCTGGCCTCCTCAGAGAGGCACGAGGAGCAATGGCCTATAGAAACCCCCGTGTGGTTGGAAGCATTCTATGTCTGCCATCGACCAGGTCAGGCACCCAGAAAGTAAGTGCCCCAAAGCAAACCCCTGTTCTAGTCAAGAAATTGCTACTGAAAGCCAAACTAGTAGACAAAACTCCCCAAATGAAAATGAGCAAACGAGTATGACATCACTACGTCACCGCGCCGCTGTCTGCGCAGCTAAGAGGGAGCCGAAGACCCCCGCATCAGCTATCCACCCCCTCAGTTCTGAGGCTAGATATCAAAATCCGCGAGAAAACCACCGACCAGGAGGGAGGGTTGCCGGGGGAGCCTCCGAGTCTCACCCAGAAAAAAGGCGTTTCATTACATTTAGCGCTGGTTTTCTGGCGGAGGCCCCCCACGGCTTCACGGAGTTACTTACCCAAAGACAAAAACATGAGGGAATTATCCGAGAGGTGGTCAGCACTCGCTCCTCAACTCAAAGTCGAGACAACTGGCTGCAACTGGTCCCTATGCGACACAGGCCCGACCTGGCCTTTGAACAGTGACAAGGTAGCGAGCGACCAAGACCCTGGTTTGACCTCCAAAAGCCCTGTAGCCGAATGTCAGTCCAAGACATGTTACCAAAGATGGCAGCCAGCACAACAAACTTACGAATGTCATGGGAATGAGGCTATAAAAGGCACAAGGACTCGTGATGTCATACCCACCGTGTATACTCGGTGTATACCCACCAAGATACTCGTGATGTCATACCCACCACAGCCCGGACCAACCGGGCTGTGGTGGGTATGTGGGCCTGCGGGCCGCTCCAAGCAACAGCCTGGTGGACCAAACTCTCACAAGTCGAGCCTGGCCTCGGGCCGGGCTTGGGGAGTAGACGAACTCCCAGAACCCCATCAACCAGGTATCAACCAGGGGATAGACCGCAGGCTGGCTGGACCGAATAACCCTGCGGACAACCGGGAAGACCCAACCCCTGGAACAGTTACGTAGGGGAACCGGGTCAATCCAAAGCGCATTCCCGGCCACAGAGGCCATGGCGCGCAGGTAACGGCACATAGCCGCAACCGGACGCAACATGTGATGCACCCCCTGGACTAACCAACCAAGCATCAACAACCCAAGGACCCCTTCGGAAAGCAGCAGTCTCATTCTTCGCTAGAAAAGAAGGAGACGGCTGCAAACGAACAAACCTACCACCAGGACCGAAAGAGCAGAAACCCCTGCACCGGAGGAGAGCATGAAGCTCCCTGACCCGACCCCCAGAGGCCAATGCCAACAAGAAAAAGAGCCTTGGAGAAACAATCCTGAACTGAAGGGACCACCACAAACCGAGGAGAAGGATCTCAAAATCCTGTCTGGCCGACTCATGCTCTGTGAAATATTAAATAAAACCCAACTAAACACTTATGGTTTTACAAATGCTTCCAACCACACGAGGGTTCCTATAGGCCCTTGTTCCTCATGCCTCTCTGAGGAGGGCCAGGTTCTGGCTCGTGGTCCCTGGTAGGCCTAAGAACTCCCTTTGCTTGACTGATGCCAGGGGTCCAATACATTCATATCAGCCCGGTTAGCTCCAAGGAACCGTAGAGGCTCCCCCCAGAAAAGGTGGAGTACCAAAAGATGGTCCATAAGAGAAATACGAAGCATGTTAAATGTTAACAGGAATAAAGACAAACAAGTATGACAAGAACAGTAAATATTCCCATGGAGCTCATGAATTAATCATTTGACTGCAGTATTCATCTTTAGAAGAAAATACCAAGACTTCATTAGACATGGTATTCAACTCAAAATTGGCAACCTTGGAATTTTTGTCCATGTACAATAGTTATTCGTCAAATTCAAAAAGATCTTCTTTCTTAAATTTATTTGTGCATGCCACGAGAGTAAAATTACCAACATGCTGTTGTCTGGTGGCAACATCACTTAACTCAAATGTAAAGATTAACACCGTGCTAAACATTTACACCCATGCAGTGAGAAATATGACTAGGATTTTCCCTATTTATTTATTATTCCTATTTTCACTGCAAAGCTAAGCATTTTGATTTGATTTGACCGATAATTTAACACCATAACAGCAGTCACTGGCATCCAAGATACACACAAAATAATAGCACATAAAAACAGAGCCCTCAAGGAAAGAAAAGTACCCCTTAAAAATAAGACACAAAATATCAGCGGGTGTTGCTCATAGTACCACTGAAGCATCTACAGTACCCTGTCTCAGCCAAACTCTAAGAAATGACCTCCAGTTATTCTGCTAGATTAATTTAACTTGCATGTAGGGGACGGAAATGTCATTACAGTAATTCCATATTCACACAAAGCTGCACTTTTTTTCTACCAAAATTTACAAAAGTTAGGGGTGCAACTTATAATATACCGTACTGTAATACAAAGCTGATTACAATTATTTACATGGAATCTCCAGACACGCATTACTAGCCCCTTTTATCAAAATGGTTATCATGACCATCACCAATACTAACACCACTCAGCAAATACACAACATTGGGTTACGTATTGTATATATTGTTTTGATGTACAATACGCAACCATAAATAACCTCTTCACTTTTTTACACTTGTCTTTACTTTTAATAAAAAAATAAGCTTGTGTAAATTTAGCCTGGGAATATCAGGAAGCTTGTTTGACAGACACTAGGGAAGCTTGGAAAACAGGGCACAGATATTATTCCCTACACACAGCTTTGTGAGTAGGGATACTGGATACTTAGATAAAATATAAACTTGCCCCTAAAGAAATGCAAATCCTGTTCAGTAAATTAATGGGAAAAGTTCCAAATTGCAATTTTGCAGGAAATTCAGTGTCACAAAAGCCATCTTTTATTCCGGCATATATTATAGGAATATTGTATTAAAATATAAACTGTAATTCTGAAGTGGGCGCTTTTAAACTGATGGCACAACTTTTGGGCGTTATTTAGAATGTAGGCCCAAGCTTTAGAATGAATGTGGTACCAATTTTCAAAAAAGGAGATAGATCACTTGCGTCAAACTATCGGCCAATTTGCTTAACGCCTATTGTGGGAATGTTTCTTGAATCGATAATTCCAAGTCATTCGTCTTCATCTTGAAAAACAGATTAATAAATGACTCGCAACATGGTTTAACTAATGGTAGTTCATGTTTTTGCTATCATTCTATTCCAGCATAGATGAGGCAGTTGATAGTGATAAGGTTTGTGATGTTGTATATCTTGACTTTAGCAAATCTTTTGATATAGTGCCATATGAAAGACTGATTAAAAAGATAAGAGGCTCACAGTATTGGTGTGCATTATAAATAATTTGTAATTCCTTGTGCCGTAAATTCTAAGCATTTAAACATGTTGGCAAAATTCCATTCTTCTCTATTCACACTGATTTTACACACAAAATTTCCTCTCTCCTACATTTACTCAATATGACTTACTGTTAACCCTTGCCTCACCCCCACCTCCCTCCTCACACAATTTACATAACCCTTTCATTCTCCTGCACCAAAACTGTCAACTACACACAAGAACTTAATGAACCTAATTAACTTGCGCATAATATAGCTCTTTAGCCACAAAAACTTTCTTTTTAACAACATGCAGTACTGCACTTCCACATGTTAATGGCATTCAACTTTCCAGAATAATTTTCTGGAAAGTGGAAAGATAAAGTCACTATCATAGGCTCTCTTCAGATTCATAATGAGCGGGTACTCCTTAGTGATTCTGGCATAACATCTCCACTTTAACCCCAACTATCTAATAAGACAACCTCATTCACCTTGCCAGTTTTTTTTACTTTGGGAAATCATTATCCACTTATAAAAATTACCCATAACATTCAGGCTACTAATGCCTCTGTGGTTCCAACACTCAAGGGTCACATCTGCCTATATACAATGGTACATTCAATTCTAAAGTAAATACAGTAACATTAAAATTTTAGTTATCTGGCACAGTACTACCTTGTTTGGTCTAATAGCAAGTGTTTTCTACATACAGTAATCCATTCCTTTCCATTTTTTTTTGCTGGATTTACTAATCGCTTTATACACCTCATGCACACCTGCTATATAAACATACTAAACTGAATTGCAGTAAAATGAATTGCATAAACTGAAATTACTGAAATGTATGCATTCCTGATTCTTACCACTTTTAAGGATATAAAAACTAAGAACTTACTACCTTACCCTTTTCTATAAAACGAGGCATTTGAAACTTTTACGCTGCAGTTATGAAGGATGTCCGACACAAGGTATAATCTTGCAATCTGAAAGTAAAGAATTAAAGAAAATTACAGCTTAACATTTAATGTACAATATAACTTGTCATATAGTACTGTATTGTATATGAATGCCTTTGTGGGGAAGTGTTAATCACATGCAAATATGATAAAGAATTGGATTTATTTCCATTTTTTTTATATTGTAAGTTTAAAAATAATAATAATTTAAACTTCAAAAAAAGTGCAATCCATCTAACGACCTTGACACAGTACATTACAAAGGTTTTTAAGTTACAAAAATCCATTGGAAAAGTGTAAAGAAAATGACCTGCGTTTTGCCTTCTCGTTTTTTTCCCTAGCAGCAATGATCATAAACATCTCTTTAATTAGCCAATTCAGAAACTGATTCATGAACCTTCATATTAATTGATCATTAGTTTAGTCATTGAGATGAGATGACCTCATGTATGGCACCTCCATCCATTGTTGATTGACCTCATGTCTGCCTAGCTATATCTGCAGCAAATGAAATCTAATTCCAGAGCCCTACTTCATAGCAATTGTGCCCAGTGTATTAATACCTCTAATTTAATTGTTCGTATTTATTCAAGTTATCATTTACCCATTCAAATACAGTATACTTCAGGCATCTTCCTGAAGCTTTTCTCAAATGACTGCTAATTTTAGTGTACATTTCAGCAGGGATTGGCAGATCCAACTTAGGGCAACATTCAAGACAAGACCAAAATCAAAGGAAATTTTTACATTCAACTACAAACTGAATGAAACTTTCCCATTCAAATAATAGCTTAATTCGTATACAAAATATACATATATGACAAGCTGCATAGTACAATACAATTAAATCCACACAATCAATTTCCACTATCAACAGTTTTGCATGTGTGTAAAGTCTCTTCTCTGCTTGTAACAATAAATACTGAATACTGTACTTATAGCTTACAGATTTTAACACTATATTTTACTGCCAATGTGATACGGCACAAACATTCCTTAACATCAACCGTAGCTTTTGTTAAAACCTGATCCTAAATGGGTAATGGAGCAGTAACAAGAAAAACATTGGTGAAGGGACCTTCACAAAACACAGATAATCATGACCGGCATCATACATTTAACAGTACTGTACTGTACTTACTTTTTTAGGCATAGCTGTGTTGTTATTTGTGAGAGCCTCTGTAAGGCACTGACAGATTTCTTCAGCTGCATCTGCATGTTCAATACACCAAACCATGGCTTCCCCAATCCTCTCTCTCTCTGGAGTCATATTGCGAATCATTGACTCTAATCTCCCTCTTTGCCTGATGGTGAAATATGGAAAGATATTTAATTAAATAGAACAATTAACATTTTACCTATCTTTCTGCATTTTTAAGCACTAAAATCTTAAAATAAAATCCTCTTATCTCCTTAAGAGGATGGCTAACATGCATAACCTGCTCTTAAATTACATTAACACCTGCACTTGATAAATCTGTTAAGATTGCAAAGTGGTGATTTGCCCATCTAACAACTGAAGCAGTCATCACATGCTATCATAAACAGTGTGAAAAAGAGTATGGACTATCTAAGAAAGCACATTTTGAGAGCAGACTAAACAAAATTAAACACAAAAATACACAGGGACATGTAATAGATACAAGAAAGAAAACTGAAGAAAACATAACAAATACAATTTATCCAGACACATTTCGGTGAGTACATATACAAACAATCAATAATACTCACGCATTTGATAAAGATCCTTTCTTGTTTTTATCCTCCTCCTCCTCTTCCATTTTTATTAGTTCTTCTGGCATTCCTTGCAAAAATGGGTTAAGAGGTGGCGGTTTCCATATTGATCCATCTGTCAAACAGAGCAAGTGATGAGTATTTATTGTAATCAATTTCCACAGTATCCTGTGAGCAAGTGAACGTCTGTCTAACTGTCAGTATGTCATTTACTTGTTACTGGTACCGGGGGATCAACGTCCCCACGGTCCAGTCTCTGATGTGGCCTCCTCGGTGACCAACAGCCTAGGTGTTGGAGCAGCTCCATTAAATTGGGGTCATGATTTTCAAGTTGCACTATACAGTTGAAATAAGGACAAAATTCTAACATTTCAATTTTAAATAGATCTACATTTATAGTTTATATATACAGTATAAAATCCTCCCCAAGATCGGATGCCCACCCAGGCTCCTCAGCATCATCAGATCTTTCCATGAGAACATGAAGGGCACCGTGGTCTTTGATAGCCTAACATCAGACGTCTTTGACATCCGAAGTGGAGTAAAGCAGGGCTGCGTACTGGTTCCAACCCTATTCGGAATTTTCTTCACAGTTATGCTGCAACACGCCTCCGGATCTGCCACGGAAGGCATTTACCTCCGGACCAGGTCAGATGGAAAGCTCTTTAACCTCGCCAGGCTGAGAGCCAAGACGAAGGTTCGGCTGAGGTGTCTGCGCGACTTCCTTTTTGCCGATGACGCAGCAGTCACTGCCCACTCAGCCAAAGACCTCCAACCGCTCATGACCCGCTTCAGCGAGGTCTGTCAGGCTTTCGGACTCGCCATCAGCCTGAAGAAAACACAAGTCATGGGACAAGGAGTGGACTCCCCACCTGACATCGGCATCTCCGATTCCAAACTGGAAGTCGTTCATGACTTCGTGTACCTGGGCTCCACAATCTCTGACTCTCTCTCTTGATACGGAGCTAAACAAACGCATCGGTAAGGCATCTACTACCATGTCCAGACTGACAACGAGTGTGTGGGCCAACAATAGGCTGACTGAGTATACAAAGATTCGGGTTTACAAAGCCTGTGACCTGAGCACTCTCCTTTATGGTAGCGGTCTTGGACACTCCGCACCCGTCAGGAAAGACAGCCAAGTACCTACCACATGCACTGCCTTCGACACATCTTGGACATCACCTGGCAGGACAAGGTGACAAACAACAGCGTCCTGGGGAGAGCAAGAATCACCAGCATGTACACAATGCTGAAACAGAGACGAATGCGCTGGCTTGGGCACGTTGTGCGAATGGGCGCTGGCAGGATCCCCAAGGATTTCCTGTATGGAGAGCTGATGCAGGGAAAGCGTCCAATAGGCAAGCACCAGCTACGGTACAAAGAAGTATGCAAGAGGGACCTGAAAGCCATGGATGTCGATCTTACTACGTGGGAAACACTGGCTGCATACCGTTCAGCCTGGGGGCACTCTGTTCAAAGAGGTCTTTCCAAGTTCGAGGAGTCACTTGCCAAGAAATCGGAGGTAAAGAGACAGAGAAGGAAAGCCAGTAGCCAGGAAGACAGACCAGAATCGGACTTCGTTTGTGCTCAGTGTGGAATGGACTGCCACTCTCGGATTGGACTCATCAGTCACACCAGACGCTGCACCAGGATTGACAACCAGGGCTCAACTCCATAGTCTCCCGAGACTGAAGGATGCCTACTACTACTACTACTACTTACAGAGTACAGGACCAAATAAATGAAAGTTTTCTAACTTACTTGTAAACATTCTGAAAGGTCTAGTAGTCCATCTATTAGGTGAATCTCCCTGCAGCATTGAAAACAACTTCCAGCGGTAGTAAACGTGAGCAGGACCTTGATTCTCAAACAAGAATCTGAAAGTGAGAAAAGTTCCTTCAATATACGACATCTTCTAACATCACATGATGACTTTTGCTCTAAAGTATATTTCATAATTTAACCCTCAAACTGCAGTCTTCGTCATGTGTTGATCATTTAGTGTAGGGGGATAATCATGACCTTTCATGATTATCCATTCATCAACATCATCATCATGAGTTTTTCATCAACAAAGAAAGTTGGAGTTGCCTCTCAAACCAAAATCTTCAGTGTATATAAAAAAAAATCTTTTACTTTTGCATAGATAGATTTCTCACTGTTGAATAAATTTCATCTCTGTTTAGTCCTCTCTCCCATTATAATGTAATGCTGACAAGTGCCAAAAGAAATATTGACTCCTGCCCAGACCAAAATAAGGGTAGATACAATCCTTTTTTTGAATGTGTGGTTTTTAATAGATATTCAATCTCAAAAGAATAAACAAGTAACAATGGGTGGGACGGGGGGGAGGGGGGGATGATGGAGTAGTTGTAATAATTTTATGTGCAACATTTTAATTTAATAGGTTAAATATTTTTTCTTGCTTGAAATAGAATAACCTTGTATAAAAAAAATAATAAAAATTCCTACCTGAATTCTGGGTTATTTATTTCTCTATTCATAATCATGGCCTCAAACATGGGTCCTTCACGTACAATAAACTCTATAGTGCGATGAATAAGTTGCAATAACGATCTGTTGGAATAGAAGAATAAATATATAAAAAAACACCAACACAGCCAAAAGCACATCAAGAAATGCATAAAATGGACTTCCTACCCACAGTGGACATTGGAAAAAGTGATGTGCAGTGAAAACTAAACTACATAATTAAGAAAAATATAACTAGAACATTTCGTAAACAAAATTGATAAATAAAAATTAATGTCCATTATGAGTAGTAATATTATAACAAATAATAATAATTAAAATAAACGTGTTAATGCACAAGATGCAAGTCTTCATCAGTTGGCTGAAATAGAAGTGATAAAGAATACAAAAATATCGGTGTAATCTTCCATGGAAGTCTACACCGCTAATGTGCTATTACCATACGAGGGTAATTACAGCCTAGTTCATTACGTATGACTTAACTACTGTGCACCAGGCGACTAGACAGGTTTAAGCTATTACTTTTTTAAAGTTACTGTATTTCATCTTTATTAACAAATACTAGGAAAAGTTTATTTACAGGTTACACACATGAATCAAACTGATTGATGCATTTATCTATAGTGACGTGCAAAAGAAAATCAATGCAGTGGTACATCGACAAACCAAAGCTTAGAACTGTTTCATTATACTGTATATATGAACAAGGGAACAAATACACTAAGATTGCAGCCAACTCTTATCATCAAATTTTTAGGAATATGACAAACAAAAATTTAATTTATATTAAATTACAAACTAATTTTATATATAATTACTGAATTATTTATTAAGAGTCTACTGCATGTAAGATTACTTGATGAATAATACATCCTGCAACCAATGCTCAACCTAAGATCCTCAAACCCAAGTCCGTCCACTTAAGAACCTAAGTTTCTGTCTAAATTCTTGATCTTTCTCGAACTCAAAATCAGAGAAAAACGCAAGAGTTTTACCTGTTAGCTGGTATAGAAGAACATGGTATTCTTCATGGCACAAATATGACTGGAAAGTTGGTATTTACTCTTCTGAGTTCTTATGTTTCACATTAGACAGGTAATTGTTGAGTGCTATAGTCACATTTGAACTAGAATATCCTTCTTTGTACCTATAACTGTTGCTAAGAGGGGCCCAGACAAATACAGGCCCTGAGATAGTTGACCCATGAAACATGTCCACAAGTTCACTAGGGAAGTCACTGCATCAGTTTGCACTGGTTGGGAGTCTTTGGGAGTCCCCCACTGGGAGAGAAAGGCCAAGTGAGGTCAGCTCCTGCTGACCCGGATGTAGCTCTCACCCACCACGGCAGATGATTCGTTGAAGCTGTGGGATAGACTTATGGGTGACCCTGACAACCCCTCCCAATACAGTATTCTGATATTGGATCCAAGCTGCAAAAAAAGCATATGCTGATCTAAGTACAGCACATGCGTGGTAAATGAGCCGATGGCTGCTGCTGCTTCTGGTGCTACATCCCTGCCAACACATGACCTCATCTCCAGAACCGCTAAGCAGACATCAGCAAGAACAGATGGCTGTAAGGGATAGACTGTGGTAAGCCACATTAGCCTAACTGTTCATCCTCCTGGAAAAACGTGATTTCAAATTCGCAGTGGATCCAAGTGGATCCACATTACGTTCCGCTGGATTAAGAAAAAATTAGCAAGGAATTTCATGGAACTTCAGCCATGAACATCCATGACTTAGCTGCAATTTCAACAGATGGTGAGTCGGCTATCTTCAAAGCTGCAGCACAATTCGACTCATGGTTTCTGAAAATGGATCTTCCCCAATACAAATAAAAAGCCCTCAGTCCAATTAGTCTAGTTTAATTAACCCTGCCAGTTGCATACCAAAACCTTACCTCGGGTCAAGGGTCACCTTACCCCGGGATCACCTTATCCCAGGTATATTAGACTCGGGGTTAAAAAAAAAAAAAAAAAAAAATCCAAAATTAATAGCAACCCAAATTTAACGGAGGTGGTTCATGACGATGTAGTCTCTTGAAGTATTACGGCAACTGGCAGGGTGTATTGGAACAGACTTACCAGTGGGCAGGGAAGCTGGTTGGGTTGATAAACAAACTAAGACGGGTTCTCTCTTTACCTTTCTGTTGGGATAACCACTTTGACAACAGCCCTTTGTAAAATCTGTAGGAATAGAGCAGCAACAAAGATAACAGATGGATTGGTCTTTAATCACATGTATTAATATTCTTTTTCCCCTCTTTCATAAAAAAAAGTTAATTGCAAGCCGATTATGTTACTTATGATGATAGACAATAGGAAACACAGGGCTGTTAGTACAGTATAATAATGCTTCTGATGAATTTTAATATCCCGAACGAAATATTTACAGTACAAAATTTGATTGATTGTGCCTCTGACTGTAAGAGTAAATTATTATGAGGCATGTCAATATATATCTACTCTATCTTTTGATATGACTGCTGTATAAAAATATTAAAGAGGTCATTAATTATTAAACTTAAATATTCATTATTTTCTAAGGTTTCAATACATTTTAACCTAAACAGCAAAGAGAAAAATGACATTATCTATTCAATATACAAGAGTAGAATGGGATGCATATGCAATGCATTCTAATTTCAAATATTCAAATTTACTAAAAGAATAACAAAAATTATAGTTTTCTCTGCATTCTGACTGCCCATTAAAATCTACAAAATTGACCCATGACAACATAGGGCATGCAAAGTTGTCTGGTAATACCTTGTCCATTTCCTCTTTCTTTTCTCCTTCTGCGGGAAGTGGAGTTCCAACAGGTGGGATCTGTTGCAAGAGAAATATGGATCTATTATAGGATGACCTGACATCTCACAAGGTTATCACATACAAGCTTTACCTAATATCTACCAAGGCTATCCATTGCATTCTCACATAGTATTTAGTAAAGTTGTCCACTGCAAGCTGACCAAATTTTTTATTACAAACACTATATACATTACAGGCAAATGAAATGTCTAATAAGGTTGCCTATTACAGGCTAATGAAGTGTTAATAAAGTCAATCCATTAGAGGCTGATCAAGTATCTAGTAAGCTTAAACTTCGTTGTTTTCTTCAAGCAACCAATAGACCAACCCTAAGAAACTGAATTTCCAATTTAGCTTTAGTTATGCTGTACTAGGTTATACTTCATGGCATAGTAATATGAATACCATTGGAAAAAAGGTATACCACACTCATGTTCTGGTAATGAGGTAGAAAAAATACAAAGCTACATCACCTACACAAACCAGTATTACCACAAACTTCACAGATGCCAATCATCATATAAGGCAACATTACAAGTGTCTACACTGCCACCATCCCACACTACAAAACCAGTGAAAAGAATCTCTGAGAGCTCAGCATAGCAGCCTCACTTTCTAAATTATTATTAGAAAAATGGAAATTGTGACAGCTGATCCCTCACCTGTCTGGCCTCACCCCATCCTTCATCTCATCTCCTTTTCTTTTTATATACAGCAAGCCCTATTTATCTCTTAGATTTGATGAAGCCCATACTAACTACCCATATTAGGTTCATATACTAAATTTGCATCCCTCTTAGCATCTGCACCTCCCTCTTGACTCCACCCAGATATTGTCAATTCCATTATTGTTTAACATTCTATATAAGCGCCTTTCCATTAACTATGTTAAACACTTTTTACAAGTTCATAAATGTAATTTCTGGATGATATTTAGGTCTTTATATATTCTGAATACAACAACAATAGGAAACACATAGAAATTACATTAACATGATATATCAATGAGAAAATCCACTAGGACTATAGGCGAGCTCAAATCTACGACCTTGGCATTGCCAGTCGCATACTCTAGGGGTAACCAGCTGCGGTGGTCTAGTGGTAGAAAAGCTATTGGTAATACCGGGGTCGTAGGTTCGCGCCCACCTAGTCCTAGTGGATTTTCTCAACAAAAGTAAAGTTATGCATTCATTGCCATAATAAAACTTACTTTATCTCTATCTCTTTTATCAGGCTGGGCATTGAAGGGCAGACCAGAGGGAGGTGGTGGTAGAGTTAACTCAACAAGAGCCGGAGGAATATAAATCGGGTGGAGAGGGATAGGAACAGCCTTTCCCCAACCCAGTTTCATCTCAAATCCATCAATATCTTTGCCTGTGAGGAAAAGGCATTAGTTATCAAACGTTGCTAAAATTGTTAAAGATCTAAATGTCTTAAATCTAACTATAAATTTAAGTATTACAAAATAATTACAGGATATTTTTTAAATATTTTAATACACAATGAAATACAGTACAATATAATACAGTCTTGCAATCATGTGTAAAATCATACCACACTTCATACCTAATTACATTACCATATGTTCCATTTTCATTCTGAAAATAGAATCAAAACTCACCATTCAAAGCTGATAATGCCCTTTCTCCATCCTTTCGATTCATGAAAGCTACAAAGCCACAATTTCGACCCCTATTTCTTTCATCATCTGTTCTTGGCCACATTATTTTTATAGATGCCAAAGGTCCATAACGTCCAAATAACTCCATCAACCGCTGTTCTGTAATCTGAAAAGCACATTGCCAGTTAAGTACTAGTACAGTGGGGGGGCCTCGATTTACAATGGTAATCCGTTCTCAGAGACATATCGTAAGTCGAAATGATTTTTTCCATGAGAAAAAAAGGGAATTGAATTAATCCGTTCCACACCCTCTAAAACATTAACTTAAAAATACATTTTATACTGAATACAATTTTTTTATCTAACTACAATACAGTACATATGTTTATCTTATCTTTATGGAGGACTATTGATGGCGTATGGAAGATGATGAGGAGAGGCGTTACTGTTCGGAAGGGGAGTCCCCTTCCATTATAACATCAATCAGTGGGGACTTCTCTGGGGTACACACTCTGGCACGCGATGAGTCACAATAACGTAGCTAAAGTAAGTTGACCAGACCACACACTAGAAGGTGAAGGGACGACGACATTTCGGTCCGTCCTGGACCATTCTCAATCAATTTGAGAATGGTCCAGGATGGACTGAAACGTCATCGTCCCTTCACCTTCTAGTGTGTGGTCTGGTCAACACTCTGGCACATTTTGCCTGCATACCACTAGGCCCTGCTTCTGGCTCACTGCTTGATTGTCTCACTAGAAATTGTTCCATAGAAGATTGTTTTTCCCTTCTTTTCCAACACTTGTCTAAAGTGAGGCATAACATTTTCATTAAAAAGATCAATGCAACGGCCTGTTACAGCTTTACCTGGGTGATTCTTTTCAGCAGAACTTTTGCAGTTCTTCCCATATTGTACACATTTTCTTAATTAATGAGGAAGGGAAATTCTCTAATGCCACCGCCTCCTCCTCCTCTGAAGATTTGTTGTACTGCCTAGCTAGTTCAACAACATGAGTACCATTTTCATATTTACATATGATCTCTCGTTTTTTCTTTATCGTCATTCTTACCCGTGTTTTCAGTTATTGAACCTTACCACTGACTTTCCTGGAACCCATGGCATGATATATAATAATCAGTTTTATGTTCAAAAAGCAACAAATCACCACAAAAATGGAATTTCTTATAAGCATGATCGTCACTAAGGTGGGTGGCTCTAGTAAACTGAGGCAGGTCAGCCCGCGTGACCGGCAACCGTGCACTCGGTCCACCCGAACATATATCAATGAATATCGTTAGTCGACGACACTATCCTAAGTCAAGTTGCATTTTTCAGTCAAATTTATATCATAACTCAAAATCATCGTAAGTCGAGGTGCCACTGTATTTCAAAATTATAAACATGATTCCCCGATTTGTGACTATAGGATGTATCAAAGTCCACCAATTTGTATTTTGAGTGAGCGAGATCTAGTTCAAGAGTCCCCACCTCATTATTGTAAGCAATGCAATTATACATCCAACATTCCAGTTCTACCATAGTTGTTCTTGAAGATATGACTTCTTGTTACTTCTGATTCAACTTTATTCCACTTGCTTACCACACTCACTACATACAAATATTTACATGGAATGCATGTCCCTGACATTGGTCTGCAAATTAAAGTCTCATATCTGGCTCCTTTCTTGAATATGAGCCCCATATTTGCATTCTTCCAGGTTTGTACTTTCCCCCATTTGACACATTATAACCATAAAGGGTTATATAAAATCTACTATTTATTTCAATATCCAAGACAAGATCTGATCTAATCCTACTGGTTTATTTACATATTACTTTCAGATGTCTTCATGTGTTCTTTGCAGACTTCCATGTCGCAAAACCTTTCGGCCTAATGACTGGGTCCTTTACTAAGGATGTTTTGTTTTGTATGTAGCCATGTGCAATAACTATGGCTGATTTTCCCTAGTACAGTACTCCAATACTAAAGAGCAGGTTCAATCCTTTGTACATATCCTAATAGTTTTAATCTAATACTTTCAGTAGTAGCTATGTCCTGTGTGCTCCAGGACTAGTCTTAACACAGGCTAACTTTGCCTATGTTGATGTTATTTCAAGTGTTACTTGTGTGTAATTCAGTGTCATGTCCACTACCAGGCCTGTTCTTCTGTTTTCTCTCTCTCTCTCGAGGCCTTTAGTTATCTCGCTCGTAAGTCAGTATTAGGGCCGGAGGGGGGGGGGGGGATTATTCCTTTGGTCTTTTTTCTCTTCAACCTCAAACTTTACATTTATTAGATGTATCCCTTCTGATTTTGCCAGTATTGATATGTATTTGAGTAATATTACTATAACCTAAAAACTATTTCCTCAAGAAAAGGACTACCTAGTACGACTAGATTGCTCAGTTTTATTATCCTACTCAAGTTTTGGACGCTACAAATCAATACTACGAGAAATAAATAGATCTCTCTCAGAACCATGTAAAATACAAACAATATCCAGTATATAAAAATGGCCAATGGGCTACACTGTCAAATAACAAATATACATTTTATTTTTCAAGACATTGCAAAAAGAAAAGTAAAAAATTAATCGACATTGGGCAACAATTCTCACTTTTAATGGTAGCTATACTTTTGTAGTCAACAGTAGCCAAAAGTAGCCATAGTCTGGGCTGAAATCTAAGTATTTATACTGTATTTTAAATTTTAAGTTGGTACAAATGCTTAAAAGGAAGAAAATTGCAGCTGGAATAAGTGCTATAAATATGACAAACCCCCCAAGACATCCCAACATAAGATTCTTAACAACAATGTCAACACCTAGATGAGTACTCCTCACTACATAGTACTCTTTCCTAAGTTTTGAATTCCAAAGAGATAACACCACATTCAACAACTGTACCAACTAACCTTGGGGCTTAAATTGCCAAGATATAAATTAGTAGTTGTCGGGTCTCCAGGATCAAAACTTCCAATCTTCGGGTCATCTGCCAGGGAAAAAAGCATCAGAAAACAATTAAATATAGAACAGAACATATTATAATTAAATTTTATGCTTTGCCACTTTTTGTTGATAGTATGAAAAATACTTTTTATTTATAAAAGAATGCAAATATAGAAGCATATAGCATCAGATAGTCTAATCAGTGAACAAGTGTGTACTATAAGCTTTTCTTGCTATGATTGTTCAAATTAAACATTAAAATTTTCAATTAAAATAAAATTGCTCCCTTGAAATCTGCCATGACCCTGGAGGGCAATCTGAAGCACTGGTGCCAGTGTCACCCTACCTAACTGTACACGATCCTGTCCAAGAACACAGCAGATCTTACTTTAGGGAGAAGCCAAATGTGATCACTCAAACACCCATTCAAATAAAATGAAAGTGCTTATCATTTAAAATAATATCTCATAAATAAGCGCTCAACTTTCAAGCAACAGTTTGTAATATCACAGAGGGAAAAACATAAAACACTGTGACAAAGATTTCTAACACAAAGAAAAAGCATGCATTAATATTACATTAATATTGCACACAATTGGTAAGCAAGTTACCAGGCTGGTGAATCAAGGAAATCAACCTTCCAAGTCGCCAAAGTATTACTGCTGAACGTTCTTTAGATGATGACATGTATGCCAGTAAACATACCAAACCAAATTATTATTATAATGTTAATACAGCTTGAGAAGAATGAACGTAGGTTATCAGGCAAATATATATGGGCGTCTGCAAAGTCCTAGCAGGATGATTAACTTTTGCTGCAAAACAAGAGCACAATTTTGTCTATTTGCAGTATCTGTGTAATCAAAATGTGTATAATACCCCTTCAGGTACTAGACATTTAGGCCACTGCCTGTCTCCACCAGAAGGCACCCTAATACCAAGGCAAAATTCATCACTACAGGCATTATGATGCTAAATTGAATATGTTGAAATCCTGAAAGATTGGCTGCTAGTCGAGCAAAGCAGATACTGTACCACATTTTTGGTGGGGGCAGATTAAAGGCACAAGTCATACAGTATATTAACTTGACACATTTTCAGAAAAACCAAACTGACAACACTAAACAGGTGAGCCAAGTGCTCACCTATTTAGTGATGACTAATTAAACTATACAATTAAACAAGAAAAACCAAAGTTGGATTTTTCTTACTTAAAACATGGCTCAATATAGTGCATAATTCTTCATAAAGCTTGGCATTCAAAGGTACTCTTACCTTTTAACTATGATGTAACTTAAAATTATTTTACTCCAAAATCCTTTCGATTAAAACATAAATAATGTTTGTTTGGTCTCCGACACTTAATCGAGGACAAACAAACTTACCCATACCAAGAAATCCAGGTATTTTTGGTTCTGGCGCTTCAAAACGACTGCTCTTTCCAGATTCTCGTGTCTGGTACATATTTTTGATACGATGACGTTCAGCTCTCTCTTCTTGAATCCTAGATGTTAAATAGAAAAAACAAATTACTGTACAGTGTACATAAAAAAATATAAATACAATACAGTACAAATAAATTTATATAATTAGTACAACAATACAGCCTCAAAAGTGCATTCTACCAATTTTTATTTCACTTCTTTCAAGACATCCTTCATCCTTTATCCATTTTCAAGCACTCAAGCTCAAATTCAAGCACTCTATAATCATTTATTTTTTATGTTTATGTCATACCAGCAACTTGCATCCATACATAGGAGCAGATTATAATTTATAATGGAGGAGTATATATATGTAATATTACATATAATATTACATATGGAGGCAGGCTGTGAGAGGGGAGGGAATTATCAGGGGAAAGCACCAAGCCATTACCACTATATAGCCCATGAAAGGGGGTCAGGATAAGGATTTGTGATGGGACTGGGGAAAGGATTGGTGTCCAACCACTTGGACGGTCAGAGATTGAAAGCCGACATGCAAGAAATGAGACCCACGCTCTACCGTCCAGCCCAAGTGGTTGGGCAAACCAAACAGGAACAGTGGTGAAATGCAATAGACCGGAAATACAAAAGCAGAAGTCCATGATTATTATTGAGAAGTATATCCCACCCCTCCCTGCTGCCCAATGCAATGGGTGGGGACCAGACAAAAGAAAGTTGTGAAGAGCACAAGACAGTGGAAAGGGTCTCTACCTGCAACCTATAGCTGGGCTCCAGAGAAAAAGAACTAGAGGGAAAAGCCCCAAATGAAATGATGGAAAACACAGTAAATATATGTAAAGCCATGACAATGTACATTCCACTTAAGAAAGAAATCAACTAAAAAAAAAAACAAAAAAAATTGTGACTCCATACATAGTGCAGAGATGCAAAATTTAGAGCCAAAAAGAAATGGAAGAAATATAAAGAACACAGCAGTAATGAGTTAAGAAGAACGAGAAATGCGCACAAGAAACAGCGTTGCATAGAAAACAAAGCCACACCTATGGCACGAGTCAGATTTCACGATGGAAGGTCCAGCACATCCAAAATTCAATGAACCAAGTGCACTGAATTTTGAGGATTTAATGAGGATTCAAGCCATCCTCCTGCATAATAACTAGCATAATTAGGAATCTTTCAAGTTGATTGCTACAAGACAAACAAAAACTTTGAGGAAAAACACAAGATGAAAGAACATGATACATTTTTTTTTAATTAAGCAGAAATGATGATTATAGAGAAAGATATATTAAAAGTACTGTTTTAGTTAAAAGTAACCCTTTAGGAAAACTTTATTAACAAGAGCTTACATTTTCAACTCTTCTTTGAACAGCTCTAGGTTACTCTTCTTCTTCTTTTCTTTCTCTTTCTTTTTTCCAGGCTTTTCTGGTCTGTCCCTATCCACTTTGGTGATGGAGTACTGAGCAGCTTTCTCCGCACTTGAGAATTTTTCAGCCAATTCCGCTAGCTTGGATGTTGGTTTGTAGAGTTTCCCCTTCTCTTTCGTATCTTCCTCTAAAATAAGGAAAACATGATATTACGGGTGACCTATAGCTTATTATTACTGTATAAGTTAGCTCTAATTAAAGACATACCAAGGATCCAATACAACTTTATGACATCAATTTCATCAAGCAACAGAAAATTATTTAAGCTTTAACAATTAAATTTGAATTTAAATTGAACCACCAACAACAAACACACTACATCAATTATCGAGAGAGAAAGAAATATCATGTGAAATAAACCTTCAACCGGCAGCTATCAATGGGAAGCAACTTACTTCTCGACCCCGCATCGAAGGTTCCTGCTTTCACCCATACTTTGCCCTTCTGTACAGGTGTTTCTTCAAATGTGGCTACAAATTCCTCATACGCCTGAAATAAACAAATATTATTGACATTGCAGTTTGATTAACTAGCTGCAAATTTCAGAGGAAATAATTTGACCATACAAAAAAATGTATAGGAAATATATGAAACTTGGGAACATTTTGTGCACTACAGTATTTCTTAGACATAAGAAATAAAGAAAAAATAAAACATTTAGTTTAAACCAATAATTTCATTTAGTTAAAAACAGTTAATAACATGATTTCATTAACCTTAACTATATATATAAACATATACATATATCTTTTTTTGTACACAGGAGGGTACAAAATGACTTGAAAATGACTTATGACTTGTTAGCAGGTTCAGAGTTTTCCAATTCCATAACATATTTTATGCCTCACACTATTACATTTTCCTGAAACACGGCTTGCCATTTGATCTACAACCAGCTCCAAATTACTACTGTGTCAATAGGGGTCAACAGTTGAGGATCACTGCGCTGTCAACCCTCCCTATTGCGCAGTGGTGCAACAGGAACAATATTTAACATCAGCACTGTTAAAGGTTGGCCGGAAACCTCCTTTTTTATTTTTTAAATAACAACACATGACCATAATTATTAGAGTACTGTATCATGACTGATGAACCATACTAGTCAGATCTAATTTAAATCTACCCACTTCCCACCCATATACCTATCTTACCTGATTCTTAAAGTGTGTTAAGTTATTTGTCTCAATAATGCTAGCTGGCAGCCCATTCCACTCATCAAGACCTCTACTCCCAAACTTGTACCTTCCTATATCCATGACAACTGTTCAATATGACCCTGTATTCCTTTAGATATGCTTTACCATACTAAATTACAGTCAGTGTTAGATGTTCATGCCAGTGGTCCATTCGTGGTTTGTGATAAAAAATAGCAAAGGGCCGGCAGGATGTGGAGAGGGAGTGGCCAGTACTGTACTATACCATGAATAAGAGCTCGGAATATCTACGGTATATGCAAGTCCACCATGATCCTGGGAATTAATTACTCCAAAATCATACCTGAGCTGCTGCCTCCTCCTCCTGCCTCTTCTTCTCCTCCTCCTTCTTGGACTTAGTTCTGGATGTCATTGTGCTGCTCTCCCTTTAAATTTTATATATGCTGGTTTGATCACAACCCTGAAATAAAATAAATATTAGTACTGAATAATATGTGAATTCCGTTGCAAAATAAAAATAAAACCTATCCCGTGGATAATGTAAAATAGAGGTTAACACATTAGTGAATTAGCTAAATCATGTAGATGGAAAATTTAAACTAATTTTATTACTTAAATTTACTTTGGTAAATTTAAATAAATTAATATGTATTTTAAATTCCTAGGATATAAGTTTAACTGAACCATGAATGCCTGTTTTTGAATGCTTAAATGTTACGGCTGCTTTAGGTGTAGCAACTCTTATTTGTGTTTTCATATATCACTTGAGGTCCAAATATCATCGACCATTGAACTATAAATCACAGCTGGGAATATCCCAGGTTCAATGACTGCAGTAGGACCAAAACATTTGGGCAAGGTTTCCTTTAACCTGATGCCTCTCTTTATTTAGCAGTAAACAGCTAACCAACAGTTAGGCAATTGCTATTGGTTGCATTCTTGGAAATGCAAGTACAGTACAGGACAGTGCAGTGCAGTACTATACTTGGCCTAGAGGGACCTCAATAAGTGTAACGGCTTTCTTCCCCCGACTATGGGAAACCATAACCATTTAGTTTAGCTTAGTTTATTAAGCTAAGCTAAATGCAAGCTGTATTGGAAAAGGTTACAGGGGCATGTAATAGGCTCGGGAACCAAATACCAAATTATGTTTAGTTAAATTAAGCAAGTTACAGCCTTGATGAACAAGTTAACACAGTACAGAAGTTTGTTAACAAATATACTGTACTGTATAAACAAACTTTTCACAGTTTATCAAACTAACATAACCATGATTCCAAGACGCTTTAACACAACAAATGATAAGTTTTACTTAGATTATTATGGACTCCATTCCCACCTTGTGGGCAAGTGACAAAAAGGTTTCAAGGTAACATTTTGGGTCAAGAACTGAACTACAACCACCTAAGGTATGCAATTTACATTTGTGTTGAGCTAGTTATAGAAAATTTTAACTTGCCTATCATGCACACAATGCCCACGTAATGGGTAGTAACGGAAGGCTACATATCGTACATGCATAATCAACAGCAGCCAAACGTAGAACATTTAACTAAAATTTCAAGTACTCTAAGGGGGGGGGGTGAACAGTCGTGGGCCCCTAATGGTCAGTGTTCTCTGATTGTGCCTATGGCACCCCCTTTTCAATAACATTATTTGACTAATTCATCAGACTGGGGAAGGACAACATGCCGTGTCCGGGGAAGGACAGCCTGCCGTGACCGAGGGAGGACAGCCTTCAGTGACCGAGAGAGGACAGCCTTCAGTGACCGAGGGAGGACAGCCTTCAGTGACCGAGGGAGGACAGCCTTCAGAGACCGAGGGAGGAGAGGACAGCCTGCCGTGACCGGGGGAGGACAGCCTTCAGTGACCGAGGGAAGACAGCCTTCAGTGACCGAGGGAGGACAGCCTTCAGTGACCGAGGGAGGACAGCCTTCACAGACCGAGGGAGGAGAGGACAGCCTGCCGTGACCGGGGGAGGACAGCCTTCAGTGACCGAGGGAGGACAGCCTTCAGTGACCGAGGGAGGACAGCCTTCAGTGACCGAGGGAGGACAGCCTTCAGTGACCGAGGGAGGACAGCCTTCAGTGACCGAGGGAGGACAGCCTTCAGTGACCGAGGGAGGACAGCCTTCAGTGACCGAGGGAGGACAGCCTTCAGTGACCGAGGGAGGACAGCCTTCACAGACCGAGGGAGGGGAGGACAGCCTGCCGTGACCGGGGGAGGACAGCCTTCAGTGACATGACCGGGGGAGGACAGCCTTCATTGACAGGGGGAGGACAGCCTTCATTGACGGGGAGGACAGCCATCATTGACAGGGGAAGGACAGCCTTCACTGACCAGGGGAGGACAGCCTTCATTGCCCGGGGGAGGACAGCCTTCAGTGACCGAGGGAGGACAGCCTTCAGTGACCGAGGGAGGACAGCCTTCAGTGACCGGGGAAGGACAGCCTTCAGTGACCGGGGGAGGACAGCCTTCATTGACCGGGGGAGGACAGCCTTCATTGACAGGGGGAGGACAGCCTTCATTGACGGGGAGGACAGCCATCATTGACAGGGGAAGGACAGCCTTCACTGACCAGGGGAGGACAGCCTTCATTGCCCGGGGGAGGACAGCCTTCATTGCCCGGGGGAGGACAGCCTTCATTGCCCGGGGGAGGACAGCCTTCATTGCCCGGGGGAGGACAGCCTTCAGTGACCGGGGAAGGACAGCCTTCATTGACAGGGGGAGGACAGCCTTCATTGACAGGGGAAGGACAGCCTTCACTGACCAGGGGAGGACAGCCTTCACTGGCCGGGGAAGGTCTGTCTCCAGTGACCAGGGGGAGGACAGCCTCCAGTGACCAGGAGGAGGACAGCCTCCAGTGACCTGGGGGAAGACAGCCTCCAGTGACCAGGAGGAGGACAGCCTCCAGTGACCTGGGGGAGGACAGCCTCCAGTGACCATGAGGAGGACAGCCTCCAGTGACCGGGGGGAGGACAGCCTCCAGTGACGGGGGGGAGGACAGCCTCCAGTGACCGGGGGGAGGACAGCCTCCACTGACCGGGGGGAGGCCAGCCTCCACTGACCGGGGGGGAGGATCCGAGAATTAGAGCATGTTCTTGCACCGTGACCCCTGAGGGAGGCCCGGGGGAGCCCAGTTTAGGGCCCGCTGGGGCCCCCTCTGCCCGGAGCCGCTACACAAGATCAATGAACACACATCACCCAGCCCTGACCTCCGTCTCCCAAGACGCCGGCCAGCAAACGTGCCCCACAAAGCCCCAAGTCCTTACCTCGTGTCGTGATCCAAGTGGCACCTCGGGAGCGTGTCAACAGCACAAGGGGAGCGTAATGTAGGGGGGGGCCGCGTCAGGACAAAATCAATGGAGGTAATTCCCGACACAGAGCTGCCGCCTGCGGCCCGCCGCCTCCGTCACCCACCACCCACACACTCTCACTCTCAGCCTCAATACCACCAGATGACCGCCCAGATATCACCAAACGCAGTGTACTACGGTTAGTCTGACCAAATTGTTTACATGGCGGGGAGCGACGCATCACGACGCCATTTTCTAAAGTCACGTGACCAACTGACATCTGCAGGGAGGGATGCGCACGGGTCATGTCGCTCCGTGATGGCTCCCTTAGTCTCGCAACCTTACACTTTTCTTGCCATTTACAATGTGTGTGTTATTGACGAAGTACCCAAAGCACTCCTAATCTAATCTACACTTAAAAACACTGTTTGCATATCCATAGCATAACGGTTATGACTAAGTGTAAGGGGACGAGAGACATCCTTCGTGTGTTGCAAGGATTCACTGGTCAGTTGTTTTTTAGCATCACTAGAGGCATATCATTGGCTCATCAGTCAGGTTAAGCACAGTCAGATCTAGTTTGTAATTCAATTTGTGATCCTCCTTGGATAGCTTCTCCTTTGACTATTAAGGAACTCGATGATTGTTAACCGGCTTCCTATCCTCGAGAATGATTTCATAATATTCCAGACAAAATAAGGTTGTCATATTAATTACAACTGATGCTTTCACCTACATAGGCCTATCATACAATAGACCGATAGACCTACTCTATGCACAGAAGATAATTTGTCAGCATGAAAAAGTGTCACCATTGATGGAATATTAATTACGAGTTAAATATATTAACACAAAACTGAAAACGAAACAATTAATACACACTGGATAAGTTAAGAACATAAGAAGCAAGAAGACTGCAGAAGGCCTATTGGCCCATAAATGACAGCCCCTGTTTATATCCACACAAACTCATTGATATATATCCACATCCGATTCATGGTAGGGCGCCTGACGGCTGAGTGGACAGCGCGCGGGATTCGTAATCCTGGGGTCCGGGGATCGTTCCACCCCGGCGATGGCGGAAACAAATGGGCAGGGTTTCTTTCACCCTGATGCACCTGTTCACCTACCAGTAAATAGGTACCTGCGAGTTAGACAGCTACTATGGGCTGCTTCCTGGGTTTGTGTGTGTGGAGGAAAAAATCAATTGATTGAGTGTCAGTTGAGAGGCGGGCCGAAATAGCCAGAGCTCAGCCCCCGCAAGCACAACTAGGTGAATATATGTGTGTGGGTGTGTGTGTACTCACCTATTTGTGCTTGCGGGGGTTGAGATTTGGCTCTTTGGTCCCGCCTCTCAACTGTCAATCAACTGATGTACAGATTCCTGAGCCTACTGGGCTCTATCATATCTACATTTAAAACTGTGTATGGAGTCAGCCTCCACCACATCACTGCCTAATGCATTCCATCCGTTAACTACTTTGACACTGAAAAAGTTCCTTCTAATGTCCCTGTGGCTGCTCATGTGGGTACTCAGTTTCCACCTGTGTCCCTTTGTTCGCGTCCCACCAGTGTTGAATAGTTTATCCTTGTTTACCCGGTCGATTCCCCTGAGGATTTTGTAGGTTGTGATCATGTCTCCCCTTACTCTTCTGTCCTCCAGGGTCGTAAGGTGCATTTCCCGCAGCCTTTCCTCGTAACTCATGCCTCTTAGTTCTGGGACTTGTCTAGTGGCATACCTTTGGACTTTTTCCAGCTTCGTCTTGTGCTTGACAAGGTACGGGCTCCATGCTGGGGCCGCATACTCCAGGATTGGTCTTACATATGTGGTGTACAAGATTCTGAATGATTCCTTACACATGTTCCTGAACGCTGTGTGTGTGTGTGTGTGTGTGTGTGTGTGTGTGTGTGTGTGTGTGTGTGTGTGTGTGTGTGTGTGTGTGTGTGTGTGTGTGTTTTATTAAGGATTGGCGCCTAATCAGTTCTCCCCAGCCAGGATACAAACCAATCGTTTGGAAAGTTAGACAGCAGAGGGGGTGCCTCTGGTATCATTTTGTTTTATCTGAGGGCCACTATTCTCTAGTGGCCTCGACAAGGACAGGAAGCCGGCGACTTGTCAAAGGTCCCCCCCTTTTGTCCTGATGATATTTTCAAGCTGAATTAAAAAATTCAGCAGTGTTTTGACATTTATAGCTTCGGCGGGTACCCTGCTGCTGCGCCTTGTTGAGCTTGAAAGAATTGCTGTGTTACATCTGACCTTTTGAAGAAGTTGTCTGCATCAATATCTTTCAAACTATTCAGTATTTTAAAAGTTTCGATATCAGCCCCTGTCATCTCTGGTGTGCAGTGGTGTTAGCCCTGTGGCCCTCAACCGGTCCTGGTAAGAGAGTCGACTTAGTTCTGGAATGATTTTTGTTGCCCGGTGTTGAACTTTCTCCAAAGAAGTTATGTCTTTCTGAAGATGAGGTCTCCAAGTTTGTATACAATATTAATCCAAGCGGGGGCGCACCAGAGATTTATACACTTGAATAACTACCTTCTTTTCCTTGAAGTCAAATGTTCCCTTTATTATTCCTCTGGGTTTTATTCATATATTAGTATTATTAAAATGTTCGACAAGAGAAATGAAGCTATAGAAAAGTTAGCTAGGGCAAACAGTAGTGGGGAATGAAGTAGGGGGGAGTGACGCGGAGAGGGAAGAAAGTAAGGAAGAGGATGGAGTGTCACTGATGGAATGAACTATCCACCAGTGATGACAGTGAAACCCAGTGATGAGTTTAACCCAATGTTGTGGAAAAAGTTAAGACAAATGGTAAAGAAAAATGGTTTACAAAATAGAAGTTGAAGACATAGTTAAAAATAGCGTTACCTCTAATTGTAGTAACTGCACAAGCAGACGAGGCGTCACAGTAACGTGTCTGAAGATATAATGACCAAACTACACGTCAGAAAGTGGAGAAGCGACGATGTTCCGGTCTGTCCTGGACCATTATCAAGAAGAAGAGATTGAAAGAAGAGATTGTTGATTTTCTGATCAATCAGAAGAGATTGATTAAGATTAAGCTACCCAAGAAGCGGCACACGCATTAATAGCCCATAAGAAGAGTTGCTGTTTTAGATTCAGCTGCTTGGAACAAAAAGTTCTAAGTAGTAAGGGCTATGGTGAGTCCGTAGTGAAGGGAAGACTGATTGAAAGGAAGATTGATTGATCGATAAGGATTAAGCCACCCAAGAGGTGGCACGGGCATGAATAGCCCGTAAAAAGGAAAAGGGAGTAAGAGAGTGAGGTGAGGAGCAAATAAGAGAGTGAGGTGAGGAGCAGGTAAGAGAAACGTAAGAATAGGATCAATGTAAGAATAACTGTGAAAGGGATGAGTCAACAACAACAAAGCCAGAACGAAGGTTCATGTTGGTTATGTATTGTATCAGAACCGATTCAAGAAGATGACGTCTGTGAAGAGTAGAGGCAGGAAAGATTATTTTAGAAGAAGACCAATCAATAGGATGATTAGAATCCCTAACATGACAGAAGAGAGCATTGTTTGTGCCTGCAGACTTAACACTCCTTTTGTGTTCCTTAAGTCTGTCATTTAGTGTACGGCCAGTTTCACCAAAGTATTGGAGAGGACAAGACGAACAGGAAATAGGATCAATCAATCAATCTTCCTTTCCATAAATCTTCCCTTCATCAGCAGCATTGGAAAACACCAGCCGCATTGGAAACAGGAATAGCAGTAGGAAAGAGTGTTAGTTTGTCGAAAGGCGAGCTTAACATCAAGAGGACCAAGGGCATTAGTGATATTTTTGAGTTTAGATGTGAAGGGAAGGCAGAGCACAGTGGTACTAGAGTTGAAAATAGGTTTGGGATGAAATAAATTACGTTTAGCTTGAGAACAAGCATAGTTGATGAAATGTAAGGGGGTATCCAAGGCGAGAGAAAGATTTGCAAATAAAAAAAAATTCAGAATCAAGAAACTAAGATACGTAGAGCGCGTGGGAGAGAGAGGCGAGAACACTTTTCTTAACAGAAGGAGGATGGTTGGAAAAGAAGTGAATGTACATACTACTGTGCATAAATTTGCAGTAAACAGTAAAAGAGAAACCGGACAGAGAGTATCCTATGAACTATACTCCATATAGTTCATTAATTATTAGTATAGAGATGGGCAAGAACAGGGCAGAGAGGGGAATCTATAGCGACACCGAAAGTTTGAGAGAAGTATTTTCCATTGTAAGAGAAGGAGTTAGAGTCAACACAGTCTGATGAGTTCGAGGAAAACGTCAGTGGGAAGCGGGAGAAGAAGAAGGCCCTCGGTCGCCTGCTGACTAAGGAAAGAGAAAACGTCTTCAAGGGGAACATTAGTAAACAGAGAGTCGACATCACGACTAAGCATCTTATAGGAAGGTTGAAGGCGCAGTCTTTCTACGAAGGTCTGAGAGTAACGGATATGACAGGAAAAAAGTACCAAGATAAGGAGAGGGAATTTTGGCAAGCCAAGAAGAAATGATAGAACGAAGGTTTACACCTGGTTTATGAGTCTTAGGAAGACCGTACAAATAAGGAAGAGAAAGACAAATGACACGGTAACGTTTTATTAGATCGAAGTCAGGTGGACAAAGATTAGAGAGCTGTCTTAGTTTGAGGTTGAAGGAAGTTTTAAGGCGATCCAAAGGGTTAGAAATCAGAGGAGCATATATGTACGGGAGTTGTACTAAGACGACCGAAACGTCATTTCTCCACTTTGTGACGTGTGGTTTGGTCATCATAGCAAAAGTGTTGAGTAAGAAGCACCGTTAAAATAAATTTAACAGTGGACTGCCCCTGTTCAAATGTTGGGAGTCTGTGTGCAAGAGGCTATTGCTTCTCAGTGAATACACAAACAGTGGCAAATTTCAGAGTTTGAAAACTCGTCATGGAAGAAAATAGATGGAATATTTACTACATCTACGTTACATTCCTCCCATGACGGTGTTGTGTCTTTGGCGATACAATACATTCTTGAAAGACATCATACTTTGTAACATTAGAACATAAGGATCTCACATATGCTCTCTTATTATACTTTAACAGTGTTCATTTCTTCCCACCTTTTGAAGAGGATTAATTCATTAGCTTCCCCGCCTCTCAGTAATCTAATCGCCGGAGCTACATTTATCTCTGGAATTATATCCCCAATACTCTGCAAGTTCAATTCCATCCTCATTGTTTTAAGCATAGAGTGCCCTGCCGGCACTCGGTTGGTAATCTTGGGCATGGTATTTTATGGTGTATGGTGTGTTGCGTTGAAAAAATAATAAAAAATAAAAAAAAGGGGGGGGGGAACAAGGCAGAGAATAGCAATTATACAAGTTGGTCAACAAACAGCATTGATTACAATAATAAGACATGGGTTGACATTTAGGGGTAAGGTAGGCTACATGGAGTTTATTAGGTAGTTTTTAGTTTTTATCTTAACCTGCAGCCTTAACCGTAACCTGCAGGCAGATTACTATTACAAACCCCGCACTCTGATCATCCTTACATCTTGGGAAAGATAAGTGTTCGTTTGTTTGAAAATTCTGATGAAGGCTGGACGTACAAATCTCTTCTGGGATGAGTCCCTGCCATGCCTGGAGCCGCCATAAATATCATGCTCAATATTCATGTTTGCCAATTAATTTACATGAATGTATCAAGTTCATCTTAGACACGTTCTTATTACGTACATTCTATCATCCACTCCCTTTTCTATACCTCTTTCTCCTTAGTCTATACTAACGAAACAAGAGGCGACATGCTTGTGTAGTGCCTTTGGCCACTAAGAGATCAAGCAGCGCCTGCTTGATCACTTGTCTTGAACTATTTGTAGTAGGATTTAAAACCTGTGACGACGTGAATGACGCCACAGTGACGTCGCATCATATCAAATGTTTACATCTTATTTTCGTTAGAGTAGAGAGTAGAGTAAGTTAGGTTACGGTAGGTTAGGTTAGGTTGAAAGAAATTATGTTAGGTTGGGTTGAGTTAAGTCTTGTTAGGCTGGCCAAGATTATGTAAAATTAGGCTAGACTAGGCTAGGTTAGGTTTGGTTGGGATGAGTTGGGTTAAGTTATGTTAGGTTAGATTGGGATAAATTAACATAGATGAAGTTGGGTTAGGTTAGGTTGGGGTGAGTTAGGTTATGTTAAGTTGGGGTGAGTTAGGTTAAGTTTAGTTACGTTAAGTTTGTTTATAGAATAACAATACCGTAGGGGAGTATGTACTTCTCTCAGGTCTTAGACCTTATAGTCTGTAATTGTGGTACTGGTGCAAACACCAGAGGCTGGCCGACAGTTGAGTGGATTATGATGTGATAGGAGGGCTTGTCTTAGCTGTGGCAGACGTCTCTGCAGATGGTTAAGTCATCTTGCGTCAGGCGGGTGATTGACAGACACTTGCATCATTGCATGGGCAGCTAACGGCATCTCTGGCTAACAACACAGGCAATAGTCTCTGCAAGCTCACGGAGAGAATCCTAATGGATGGAATCATTCACCATCTTACAGTGAACGATCTAGTATAAAAACCGCAACATGGACATACTTTTTATCATCAAATTTGCAGGTGACACTAAGATCTAGTGTAAAATAGGAAGTGAAAAATTATACTGAGGGCTTACAAAACGATCTATTTGAATTGCACAAATGGTCGAAAGACAGGTAAATACTTTTAATATTGAAAAATGCAAGACCTTGTGTAGTAAAAGTGTTATTATATTATTGTACCTGGATGGATGCTCGCTTGACTGTTTTGTTTGGATGCTCGCTTGACTGACTTCTTTTTGTCAGATCAGCTGTGTCGTGCCTGTGTACAGGTTAGTTGAATGTTAACTCCTAGTTTAATTTCTTTTTGTTCTAGCTTTAGTCATGTGCAGTTGGCTTATTATTATATATAGTTTAAGCACTGTTTATTCATTATAAGTATTGTATATTATATGGCTTGTGTTATTGCAGGATGTAACTATAATGTAATTATTTGCTCAATAAAACCACATGTCTGGCAATGCTTTTCCTTTACCTCACCTTGCATATATGAGACATAACAGTGCACATCAAAACAATAAAATCAACACATGCGGTAGATTTGCGAAGAAGAACAAATACCTAGGAGTCAAAATCCACTAGTAATTGAAAGTTGCACAGTAAGGGGGAAGCTGCATTAACAAAAATCAGGAATTAAACGAACCTTTGACTTCAAGTAAAAGAAAGTGGTTATTTAGCTGTTCAAATCTCTGGCGCGTCCCCGTTTGGAGAAAGTGCAATGCAGAGCGACACAAATCATCGCAGAATTAAGTCGACTCTCATACCAGGAACAGTTGAGAGCCGCAGGACTAACATCAGTGGAAACTAGACATGACAGTGTTGAGCTCATCGTAACTTAAAATACTGACCAAGTTGAAGGATTTTAATCCTGATCACTTTTTTAAACGGTAAAAATAACACATACAAGGGGCAACAGCTTCAAACTCAAGAAGCAACAACGTAGGACAGAAAATAGGAGATGCTTTTTAACTCATCACGGTTCCAAAATCTTGGAACCGCCTACCCGCCGAAGCTGTAAAAGCCAAGGCATTAATTCAGTTTCAAATCTAGTTGTAAAAAAGCATTACGAAAAATAGGGGGACTTTTATCAAGCCTCCAGCTTCCTGTCCTCGTCGAGGCCACTATATAGAGAAAAGATGGCCCCCAGGTAAATAGTATCTCTAGCAAACAACACAGGCTACAATATAGTATCTATGGCTAAAAACAGTCAGAAACATAGTAATGTGGTTAACAACACAGCCAACAACATAGTGTCTCTAGCTACCACAGCCACCCCACGTAGTATCAGTTGTTAACAACACAACCAGCAACATAGCATCAGTGGTTAACACAACCAACAACAGCATCTGCGATTAACAACACAGTCAACAACGTAGTCTCAGTGGTTAACAACACCGCCAACAACATATAGTATCTGTGGTTAACATTACAACTAACAACATATAATATCTCTGGCTAACCACTCAACCAACCACAAATGGTTGGTTGAGTGGTTACTAAAAACGGCACTACTATTAGTCTAAATACTAAACTATTACTATTAGTCTAAATACCGGTCTACTAAACGGCACTCTATTAGGCTAAGCATAATATCTCTGCTTAACAACACAGCCATCTGCATAATATCTCTGGTCACCGCATATAAAATATTTGTATTGACTGCGCTGTTCAACGTTCGTTAACCCATCACAGTCGAGACAATACAGTAATCGTCCGTTATTTGTAACGGCCACTTACCGGTGGTACTTAATGTCAATTCCCATCAGAGAACAAGTGCTTCAGTCAATACATTCACAGTTTGCACCTTGATTTCATTTCAACAGGATTAAACAAGATAGCCTAAATATATTTAATTTTTCGTTGCACTTTGATTTCTTTTCAATAGGATTAAAAAAAATAGTCTCAGGATATTTTTATTTTGTAAAAGTTAATGTTTGCATATTTTTAATGTTATCATATTTCAGGAAATACAGCTCTTAATATGCATCAATGTACAGAATACATTACAACATTTGCATGCTTTACATACGCCACTACACATTGATTTAGTGAATGTTTAAAAGAACAAACATCACCACTATAACTACTGTACCATTGTCGGCAATCTTTTTCTTTTAATCTTAACTTCTCAAAATCTTATCCTAGAATAAAAGAAACTTTAAGGTACTCTGTGTACTAAACAGTTGGGTATCACGTACAAAATAAATTCCATAACAGACAAATCAGATAAGAAGTGTTCAAGTTATGAACTTGACAAATTTCAGGAGCAATGCCAAGATTTGATGCATGAATATAGGGAAATGAGAACACCTGCTATGTAGGGTCTTCTGGCTCTGGGAAGAACTTCACAAGCCAGGGGCAAGGTTTGATTCAGGGAAGAACTTCACAAGCCAGGGGCAAGGTTTGATTCAGGGAAGAGCTTCACAAGCCAGGGGCAACGTTTGATTCAGGGAAGAACTTCACAAGCCAGGGGCAAGGTTTGATTCAGGGAAGAGCTTCACAAACCAGGGGCAACGTTTAATTCAGGGAAGAGCTTCACAAGCCAGGGGCAACGTTTGATTCAGGGAAGAGCTTCACAAGCCAGGGGCAACGTTTGATTCAGGGAAGAACTTCACAAGCCAGGGGCAAGGTTTGATTCAGGGAAGAGCTTCACAAGCCAGGAGCAACGTTTGATTCAGGGAAGAGCTTCACAAGCCAGGGGCAACGTTTGATTCAGGGAAGAGCTTCACAAGCCAGGGGCAACGTTTGATTCAGGGAAGAACTTCACAAGCCAGGGGCAAGGTTTGATTCAGGGAAGAGCTTCACAAGCCAGGGGCAACGTTTGATTCAGGGAAGAGCTTCACAAGCCAGCGGCAACGTTTGATTCAGGGAAGAACTTCACAAGCCAGCGGCAACGTTTGATTCAGGGAAGAGCTTCACAAGCCAGGGGCAAGGTTTGATTCAGGGAAGAGCTTCACAAGCCAGGGGCAAGGTTTGATTCAGGGAAGAGCTTCACAAGCCAGGGGCAAGGTTTGATTCAGGGAAGAGCTTCACAAGCCAGGGGCAAGGTTAGGCTCAGGGAAGAACTTCTCTAGACAAAGGAACCAACCCGGAACACCAGCCTTTATCTCAGGAAAGACCTTCCGGTCTGATCATATGTGAAGCTCCTCCCAGAACCACCTTTCCTTCACTAGCGCCTTCTACAATAATATTCAAATTCAAAGAGCATTAATATACACACACAGAATAATTTTCAAGCTCCAAAATACTAAACGGCACTCTATTAGGCTAGAGACTTGCACCTACATTGAAGAAATAACCTATTTCTCATGTACATTAAATACTTTAGTAACATTAATTGTGAACTAAATATGTTCTATACTGTGAGGCATATCTGACAATATAAATTATATTATAAATATTAATATAATTAACGGAAACCATTCAAAAGAATAGGTAAACACCAGGAATAAGGCTGACAAAATCAAGGTATCCTAATCGGGGAGACATAGAGACTTGTAAAGTATGTCAATGATAAACACAACTTGTACCTAATGTTCATATATGCCATTTATTCAGGGTTACAATAGAGCCCGTCCTCTCGAGTTGCCATAACGGACAGAAAATGGTGTACTTAAACACCCGAATCTAACCTAGCAATCCACTCATAGAAAACGTGAATGTTTGTGAGCCGCTATGATTTATAGTACATCATATTTTGTCCGTTGAGGATTTTGACTTAAAAATGCGATGTATTATTCTAGGGGACACGTTGTGCAATAATACGTAAATCGTTTGCAACGAAACTGTTGATAAAATTGAAAATGGAACACATATTCCGGAATATGTACGAGAACACGTTATTGTAACTCTTCAAATGCGCCATACGAATGAAATTTGCAAACAGGCAAACAAGAGTTGCAAATTATTTAACCAACTTGTATCTAAAAATTGTTCAGTATTTTTCAAACCAATCTGTCATAATTTTATAAAGTGAAACTACTTTGGAAAGCACCCAAAACTGGGTCATTAATACCCTACACGAACTTTTGAGGCAACATTTTGCAACACTAGTGAAAAAGTGATGTCTTGTTCTATCGGTAATTTTCTTGAAGGTGGCAGATATCTGGAAGATAAGGTGGTGTTCCACACAACCTTCAATGTCAATCCACTTAAAGAGATCGGTACAGTGACGGCCCCACTTCTTGAAGGGTCGGATTTCGATCCCCGATATCGGAGTGGTTGGGCATCGTTCCTTCACTCCGTCTTCAAATCCCATATCTTAGTCTGTCCTAATATTCTTCCCATGTGCTGCACAGTCATTCTAGCATCAGGTACTGTCTCTCCCCATGCCGGTAAAGCTCCTCAATATCAATCTAGACGAATATAATAGTGGAGGTCCTAGACATGACGAGGACAAGTGAAACAAAATATTTATTCAGGTAACGTACATACATACAAGGTGTGATACAAATATTGATGGATTTATAGAGTGGTTAAACATACATCTAAGAGAAGGTGCATAAGTCATAGAGCAACTTCCCTCAGAGGACCTTGAAGCCGGAGAAAGAGTTATAGGCCCTGGAAGAAGACACGTCATAGAGTCGTCCTTCCTGGAGCTGGAGGTAGACTCGATCTCCAGCGTTGAGGCGGATGACGGCGCTCTGGCTGCCCATCTGGTACCCGTCGGCGTCGCCGTAGGCGCTCACCACCTCCGCACCGTTGTGGATCAGACTCACCCTGCAACACGGGGGTAAGATATTTGTATCGGCGCTGCAGCAGCAAGTGTTCCTATATGCATACACAGCCTATGTCAGGTCAGTACTCGGGTATGCGGCGCCAAACAGGAACCCAGCTTGGGTTCCTGTAAAACACAAATATAAGATTGAGAAGGCGACGAGTCACAATAACGTGGCTGAAGTATGTTGACCAATCCACACACTAGAAAATGTAGGGACGACGACGTTTCGGTCCGTCCTGGACCATTCTCAGGTCGACTTGAGAATAGTCCAGAACGGACCGAAACGTTGTCGTCCCTTCATTTTCTAGTATGTGGATTGGTCAACATAAGACTGAGAAGTTATCAGTGCACAAGACTGATATCGAAATTATAAGACTGATCTACGAAAACAGACGGAGAGACCTGCTTTAAGCACTGGAGAAGAGAAGAGAAGAGCCAGAGGGGACATGATTCAGATGTACAAGATACAAAAATAAATATATAAGGTGGACAATAACAAATAATTCCAAGTAAAGGGGGAAAATACCGAACGGGAGGTCAGAGGTGAGAACTGGAAAATCAGCTGAGGTACAGAGAGGTCAGAAAGTTCTCATTCCGTGTATGTGTAGCATCTGCAGGTAGGTGAACTGAAAACAATCAGCATATTTGGAAAAAATATGACAAACAAACAATAATTGTGAGTAATGTTTATTCCCCCCGTCCTAGGTTCCTTTATGGGGAAAGCTTCTCCAGGTCTCGTACAAATGAAGCTCATCCTTTGAAGACCTTTGTGAATTTGTAATAAAAGAGAACAGCTCACCTGAAGTGTGTGTAGACCCGAGTGTAACTCACCTGAAGTGTGTGTAAACCAGAGTGTAACTCACCTGAAGTGTGTGTAAACCAGAGTGTAACTCACCTGAAGTGTGTGTAGACCAGAGTGTAACTCACCTGAAGTGTGTGTAGACCAGAGTGTAACTCACCTGAAGTGTGTGTAGACCAGAGTGTAACTCACCTGAAGTGTGTGTAGACCAGAGTGTAACTCACCTGAAGTGTGTGTAGACCAGAGTGTAACTCACCTGAAGTGTGTGTAGACCAGAGTGTAACTCACCTGAAGTGTGTGTAGACTAGAGTGTAACTCACCTGAAGTGTGTGTAGACCAGAGTGTAACTCACCTGAAGTGTGTGTAAACTAGAGTGTAACTCACCTGAAGTGTGTGTAGACCAGAGTGTAACTCACCTGAAGTGTGTGTAGACCAGAGTGTAACTCACCTGAAGTGTGAATAAATAAGCGTGCAACTCACCTAAAGTTTGTGTAGCGGTCGGACATGGCAGCAAAGGTGAAGAAGTAGACTCCTGAAGAAGGGGCGAGGAACTCACTGGTGGCGGTGTTCCATCCTGACCCGACCTGCTGCACGACGCCGTGTCAGGGCGGGGCACAGGGAGCATAACTATATTAGATAAATAACACTGATGATTGATAAAGATTAAGCCACTCAAAAGGTGACACGGGCATGAATAACCGGTAAGTGGTGGCCCTTTTGAGCCATTACCAGTATCAATAGATGATACTGGAGATCTGTGGAGATGCGACTGCACCCTGCGTGACGGGAGATATCTCCCCAGATAACACTAGGGAGCATGGGAATAAGAAAGAGGCCGTTAGACAAGCAGATCAGCCACAGGTATACAAGGAAACGCTTACGGGCTATTCATGCCTATGCCACCTCTTGGGTGGCTTAATCTTTATCAATCAATCAAGGAAACACTTCTTATGTATCAGAGCAGTCAGAAGGGAATCTAGCAGAGGATTACACCATCTCTTGTCTTAAGAGTGGATATGACAGAAAACTAAAGGGACGAGAGTCGTATTAGATGACCAACAACTGGAAAGGCGGGGGCCCCATGAGCTTAAGCTCGGTCATATAAAAAACTGTTAGGAAAGTAAACACCCACACACTCGCAAAGCAGTGGAAAATGAGAAAGTATTTATGCAGAGGCCAACTCCATCCATAGCTTAAATGTTGTTATGAATACGAAATGACTAAGAGGTTTGGAAGTCATTGCAACTACCTCCTGGTAGCTAGAAGGTGGGGCTCAGGAGCTTGAGGCTAATCAACGCAAGCACACCTAAGAAAAATAATGCACACAGACCTGGGTGACTCCCTCAGCGAAGAAGACCTTGCCCCCTGCAGTGGTGTAGGAGGAGGCTCGTCGGGCGGTGAAGGCCTCTGGTGACCCGTCCCCAACCCGTGGGGTGTAGGGATACACTGTAGGCACGATGGACGGGTTCTTAGAGGGGATGCCGTTGCTGGGATAGTAGCTGGAAGGGATGACGTTGCTGGGATAGTAGCTGGAGGGGATGACGTTGCTGGGATAGTAACTGGAGGGATAGATGCTTCCGCTGCCTGCTCCCTGGGCGGGTGACCTGTAACTGTAGACCTGAGGGCTCTTCCAAGTCGTTTGGAGGTCTTCCCTCCGGGCGGCAGTTTTGGTGATGGATTTCCCATCGTTCTCTGAAGCCGCTTTCTTCTCCTTCCCTGCTTCCTCAGCCGATGCGGCAGTCAGAGCCACCACCGCCAGCACCACCAGTGTGAAGGTCCTCATCCTCAGTACGTACTGAAATATCAAAAACATTATAACAATCATTTCGTTGTTGTAGATTCAGCTTCTCGGAACAAAACGTTGCAAGTAGCACGGGCTATGGTGAGCCCGTAGTGGACTTACCTGGCACAGGAGCGGGGCTGTAACTCTGAATCGTTTCAGAGTGAGGGCCACCATCTCCAGTGGCCTCGACGGGGACAAGAATCCAGCGGCTTGGCAAAAGTCTCCCCTTTTTAAAGACTATAAAACCTCGAAGGTTATCTTCTTGAGATGATTTCGGGGCTTAGCGTCCCCGCGGCCCGGTCCTCGACCAGGCCTCCTTTTTGTTACACAACACTCAGGAAGCAGCCCGTGACAGCTGTCTAACTCCCAGGTACCTGTTTACTGCTAGGTAACAGGGGCATCACGGTGAAAGAAACATTTTGCCCATTTGTCTCCGCATCCACCGGGGATCGAACCCAGAACCTCAGGACTACGAATCCGAAGCGCTGTCCACCCAGCTGTCAAGCACCCAATTCCCAGGCGGTAGACGGAATTCCGTCCAAAATCCCTAGACCTCAAGACAAATTCAATGTTGCCCCTGTCTTCAACAACATCAGAACTTACATATTTATTTTCTTACTTTCATAAAAGTACACTGGATATTATAATAATTTTGGTGCGCAAATTGTATTATTGTAAAGGGGGAAGGGGGTTAGAAATAGCCTAAGCTACTCTATCCATTTGAGATGTATTTTCTTTCTTGTCTCAATAAACATACTTGAACTTGAATTATTGTAAAGGCACTAACGTCTATATTTTCATATTTACAAGTTCAAAATAATTTTGAAGGAAGCCATCAACTTAACATCGATTTGTTGATAACAAATCTTGACTAACAAACTTAGTCTCATGTCTTGAAACTGCAGACGAAGAAATGTTAGGTGCCATAGTAGGCATTAACTTCCTGAAGGCATTCCGTAAAGTACCACATGAACAAATTCTTGATTGATGGAATTATTTTTTCAAAATACTAGAATGGATGAGGCGACGATGGAACCACAGAAGACAGTCGTCCTAAATGGAGTAGTAGTCGACTGAAATAATGTTTTTGAGTCAAGGAATAATTCTGAGAACATAATCTATTTCACACCTGTAATATAATCTATATAATTATATAATCTATAATTACCTGTTCATAATCTATTACAGTGACATTGTTGACCACATCTCTAAGCATACCATAAAATTCGCAGACGACACGAAGATTTATGGTAAAGTGAAAAGAGAAGAGAACCTTTACGTTCGTGCAAAAAGATCAAAAATGAATTTCAACAGTGGCACAAATATTTGTAAAAGTTACTCAACGCCAGACCCTGCAGGTGGAACTCAACCCCGAGCATCACAATGGTCATATTGACGGCGCTGAATTGCAATTGGTAGAAAATAAAAGGACCTTATCGTGATTGTCCAACATGCAACACAACAAGTTGGAGCAGTTGTGAACAAAGCCTCTTGGAATAATCAGCCAACAATTCCTTATCTATTGTATCTATGCAGAGACCTCACTTATATAAAGAACAGACAACAGTTAAACATTCTTCTTCCAGAGAGTAATAAACCAATACGGCAGCCTACCCTCCAAGCCCCAGATAACACTACAGTTAAAAATAGATTTGGAAAATATTATCAGAAAGAATACAGAAGAATACAGAGAGAGTTCACGAGTTACAGTATTCTTGTCCCCGCCGCGGCCACTTGAAATAGTGTCAAAAAGGGTAAACATAACAGTGAAAAACATTAGAGACAGGAAAAATATTAGAACACTATCAGGGAAGAGTTGAAAGAGACAGGCGACAAGTGGCCCGCAATGTCCTCAGATCAAGTCCATTCCATCCAGCGGTCGATCCCAAAATCGCATTCATAAATTTTAACGTGTTGTTTATTCAAAACGGGAATGTTCAAAAATATAAATTAATATTATTATATATTAGCATATTGGGCATATTTAGGCATTAGTTAGGTTAGATTAGGTGTTTAGGTTTTGTTGGTGATTATTCAACCCGCCCTCGACTCAAGTCCATTACATTCAGCGGTCAACCCCACAGACGCATTCATAAATTTTAACATGCTGTTCATTCAAAACGGGAATTTTCTCAAGTATAAATTAATATTATAATATATTAGGATATTGTGTATAAATAGGCATAGGTTAGGTTATGTTAGGTGTTTAGGTTCTGTTGGCGATTATTTGTATTTGTAGTACGTGGGTGAAGCATTTACAGCGTTGTGGTTCGAACAAAATTCGTCAGTGAAGCACTTGTTCCGGAAGTGTTCGAACGAAATCAGTTGTGAGTCGTGTGTAAACCCTTTTTCATTCATAAAAAAGGGTTTAGTGGCTAGATTAACGAGCATTTGAAATATGTTGATGAGGACGGGCTGAATCAACAAATGCCATATACTCGTTAATCCAACCGTCACACTCCCTGTTTATGAATGAAACAAACTTTACACACGACTCACATTTGATGACGCTGGATGTAATGGACTTAAGTAGAGGACGGGTTGAAATGCTCCACCCACGTACTACAAGTGCAAATAATCGCCAACAGAACCTAAACACCTAGCCTAACTTAACCAGTGCCTAAATATGTACAATATGCTAATATAAAATAATATTAATTTATATTTGATAAAATTCCTGTTTTGAATGAACAGCATGTTAAAATTGATGAATGCGTCTTTGGGGTCGACCGTTGGATGGAATGGACTTGGTCCGAGGACGGGTTGCTGTTAAGGCTTCACCCACGAACTAAAATATAAATAATCACCAACTGATGAACCTCTCTTGAGGGAAGGCTGCCGCTTTAACGAGCCTTGCCTGAGGATAAGTAACATAATCCGGGAAATCGGTGGTTACATGTATTAACTTTTGGCCTTTGTTGATTAAATTTTTGAATGGGCTCTGCTGCACTTTTGACGAGCATAGCCTGAGAATGGGCTGGAGCTTAATAATGTCGCCCATGGACCTTTCGAATCTAACACGTTTATCTGCGTACTAAAATAATTCATTTCTAGACAAAACCTAATTGCAAAATATTCAGTAATAATTTAGTATATCTAAACATGAAGAGTCCCAGATTCTTCAGTGTAACTCGACAAATATATGGTACATTACATTTAAACACATAATTGTCATTAAGATGAAACTTGGTAAATTCCTCTATAACATTGATTATGAGCAATGCTGTGGTACGAACGTTGTGTGAACCGTCTACAAAAATAATCCAGCCGTATTAGACTAAATTTATCGAATGTTCAGTTTCATCTGTGTATATAATTACAATATTACTAAATGAAATCATTATTTCGCGGGAACTTTGGTTGCGCCTGCGCAGTACAGCTCGCCAACTGCTGCACTTGATAAATTAATTTCGTCTCACCTTCCCCGCGGTGGAGATCGATGTGTGTTGACGGGTCCACGGCGGAATACAGAACTATAGTGGTTTCTTGGACCATTATATATATACAGTTTTGTAATCAGTTCACCAGCATTTCCGTGTTTGTTAATACTTCCCACATGGATCATTTCTCCTTGGCGCGGGATTCCTAATCCGGATGTGAACGAACTTAACTAATGTAAACGAATTTGGAATTGCGTCTCGCGGTAACAAGGCAAGTTTCCTATACTGGTATAAGTATTGATGATTATTACATTGTTTATTGATGAATATTGTAGGGAGGGATTAGTAATGTCGGTAGGACCAATTAAGAGCTGCATAATTTGTTATATTATTTGACAGGAAGTCCGGTTTAGTCCCAAGGTTAGGTACACACGGCCACTCATGTGTTGTATCCGGATTATAATGCGTCTCCTTCCTCGATTTGTGATCTCATGTAATATGGGATACAATTATGAATGCACAATAGATGTGTAGTTGATTACTTACTGTATGAAACTAATATATCACATCTATATGATTGTGCATGCTGGAAGGGTTAACTAGCGCTTACGCTAATTACGCCATTAGACCTTTCTTCTACGTTCATGTTTGAAAATATAGTCACTTCTGGTCATCAAAAATATATTTGGAAACAATCACTGAAAGTAAACGTCACTGAATAAGCCTTCATGCGAACCTAACCAAATTAAAGCACACTTGCTCTGAGTCTCACAAACTAACGCAAAGTAGATAAACATATGAATTTAAAATGTTAGTTTTAGTGTGGAAATGAATCTGGGGGAAGGGAAGGGAATTAGCACGGTCAAGCCATTACGACTATGTAGCACTTGGAAGGGGTCAGGATGAAGATTTGGGATGGGACGGGGGAAGGAATAGTGCCCAACCACTTGCACGGTCGGGGATTGAACGCCGACCAGCATGAAGGGAGACCGTCGCTCTACCGTCCAGCCCAAGTAGTTGGCCGGAAATGAATTATTGTGGAAATGATGGTGGACGGAGAGGAAAAAGACGGGTTAGGTTAACACAAGTGCTGTTATATTTTACTGTTTAGCTTTAAATAATGTTAATAGTTATATCCGGATAGATCAGATCAAGGAGAGGACAGGTTGCTCGCAGGAAGCAGTGCTTTTCTGTAACAATTGATTTCACTGTTATATCAAATATTGTTCCTTCGTTTTACCTGATGCTCTCTCTCTCTCTCTCTCTCATCTTCTCTCTTTTCACTATTTTTTTTGTAATCTTAGTTTAACCTTTTTCTCTCACTTTCCCACAGTTTTTCTGTCTTGTCTCACTTGCTCTCTCACACACACTTACTTTCTCTTTCACTCCTTTTCATTTTCACACTTTTTTTTCCCTTTCGTAATTTCTCTCTCTCCTAATTACCTTGTTTGGTAAAGAAGCGCGTAAATTGTGAAAGATTCCATATTTTTTGTCATGACAATGTTCCACTATAATTTGCCAAGGTCAATGTTGTGACGAATAAGATGCGTAAATTCCACAAGATATCCTAATAATCAATAATAATAATAATTATTATTATTATTATGTTAATTTCTACAAAATTATACATTA